CATCAATTCTCCCCTAAATCCCAGTCCCAGCAGGCCCAACCCCAGTCACCACCGCGGTCGCTCCGCCAGTCGAATTCTTCCATTTCTTCTCCTCCTGTCCAGCACATCGCCCCCCTGGCCCTGCGAACAAAAAATATCGGCGACAATAATAACATCAACATCAACACGACTGCCCCGAATACGAGTTCCATCACGAGCCCGCTTTCAGCTGCCTCCGCTGCGTCGGCTCTCTCCGCCCCAGCTGCCTTTACCCGCCAAATCTCCACCTCGTCCCTGCGATCCAACAGCAGCCTCATCTCCCAGATCCAGGACAGCTTGCAGCAGCAGCAGCAGCAACAGCAACACCAGTCACCCAGCCGCTACCGTCACCACCACTCCTCCTCCTCGGGTTCCAACATCGTCCAACCCGTCCCCAAACCAATCGTCCGTACGACCTCCGACTCCAACACCTTCATCCTCAAACACCCCGTCCCCGATCTCAACTGCCGCTCCGGCGCCTACGTCGGCAACGTCGCCGCCCTCGAGAAGACGGCCGAGCGCCTGTCCATGACCAGCTCCATCGAGGACGCCATCCGCGACCTGCATGGGGAACTGAAACGCTCCGACTCCCGCCGCTCCTCCATCCTCGCCGCCTCCGTCGCCGCATCCCAGTCCCCGATCGACGACGCCGCCGCCCAGCCCGGCCCCCTGCGCGTCATCCCTCCCGTCGCCTCCATCGTCGAGCTCAACAACGCCGCCCGCCACGGCGGCTACTCCCCCAGCGGCTACGTTATGTCACCCAACCACTCCCTCACCGGCCGCCTGCGCTCCGGGTCCAAGAACTCGGCGAGCGGGAGGCCAGAGATTGATGTCGACGCCGTCATGTCGCGTCACGGCCCCGGCAAGGGGTCCACGCGGAGCGCGAGGTCGGGCATGTCTGGAAAGCCCTCTCTGGCTGAGATTGCAGAGTCCGAGCCTGTTGCTTTGACGCAGCGGGCGCTTGATGATGCTGATCGGGCGCCGTTGGCCGACGATGATGCCACTATCCGACGACCGAATACGCATTACGAAGAGAACGGCGACAGCAGCTCGTACAATGTCGGCGGGCACCTGGATCAGGAGCAGTCCGGCTTGGGATTGGACTTTGGTGGTGACAACGGAAGACACTCTGAGGACAGGCCAGCGACACCCAGATCGACGGCCACCTTTGACCACAAGAACGCGTTCGATGACTTTGACGGCGTGCACTGCCAACCAGACCAGTACTCCGAGCGCGGCGGCTGGGATTCTCGCGAGCAGAGCGATGGCGAGTACAACGACATGCCGCCGCCGCAGCCCAAGACCATGCCGATGCCCGATATCACTGAGCCGCCGTTTGAACCCCAACCGCGGCCCATGCCTCGTCCCCCCAAGGCTACCCAGGTCAGGCCGCAATCGTACTTTGACGAGCTCACTGGGCAGGAGATGCTGTACTATCCGGCCCGCGTGCCGGCGATGCTTAACCTGCCCCCCAAGCTGTCTAGAAAGCCCAAGACCAATGTCCGGAACGCGAGACATTCCAAGGTCTTGCAGGCTATGGGGCACCCTGGCTTTGGCAAGGCCGAGTACCTGCCTCAAGATCCAGAGGCTCCTGCTGTGAGAGAGTCCAAGATGTGGTTACCCGATCCGCTTGCCGGGCATAGCGCGACGACGTTGGGCGAGGACATTGACGGCCAGAGATCTGGTGGCACGTCGATCAAGGAGTCTACTGCTGGTGTTGACTCTCATGTGCCTGCCGAACAGAGAGATGGACTGCTGGCTGGTGAACAGGAGGAGATGCCCATGGCGCCTCCGCCGACGCAGCGCCGCAAGTCCAAGATGCCCAGAGCAGCAGATCTGCCACCGCAGCTGCGCGCCAGCGCCTTCTTTGACCTACCATCTACGACACCGCAGATTGAGATGAAGGATGGCTCGGCCATGGCTACTCTAGACAGCATTCTCGACGCCTCCGCGAATGCTCCCGTCAGCGCTTTCACGGACCACGCTTTCGCCGGCAAGCTCGGCTCTGAGGTGTACGGTCCTGATGGCAAGAAGAACCGTCGCAAGTCTGCCGCGCCCGGGGCTCTGCTGCCCGAAGAGCACATTGCGGCGTCGCAGAAGAAGAAGAAGGGCATCCTGCCTTTCGGCAAGAAGTCTGCTGATACGTCTAGGGCCAACTCCATGGCACAGGATGATGAGGGCAAGGCTTTGTCTGAGAACGTGGACGCCGAGTCGAAGAAGTCTGGTGAAGAGTCTGAGGAAGAGGAAGAGGACGAGTTTGCTCATGTTCTCGACGGACCTCCGACGACGCTGCTCGCCGAGCTTCAGTTGCGAAAGTACAACCAAAAGCTGCGCACGCAGATGCCGAACAGCGCATTGGCCGGCGGCATGCACTCCACGCTCCTCGAACTCGACGCTGTCGCCGAGGCGCAGAAGAGGCATCGTGAGAAGAAGAAGATTGCGCTTGCCTGGGAAGATGGCGCCAACGACGAAAAGGAGGACTCTGACGATGACGAGGTGCCTTTGGGTGTCTTGTACGCCAACCAGGGTGTCGTCGCAGACGTCAACCGTCCTCTAGGTCTGATGGAGCAGCGTGAGAGGGAGGAGAACGAGCCTTTGAGCTCTCGTCGCGCTCGTCTTACCGGACAGCCTGAACCACCAAGAACCCTCAGGCCACAAAGGAGTGCCATGACTCTCAATGCTGGTTTGAGCCAACTTCGCCTCAACCACATGCCCTCTTCTGAGCGCGTGAGGCCTCAAGAGGAGTCGGAAGATGACGAGCCTGGTGAGACTCTGGGCGAACGCATGCGTCGTCTTCGGGCCAAAGACGAGGCCGATCACAACAACCTGCCCAAGGCCCGCCCTGTTAGTCGCGCCTTCTCTGCAGAGATTCTTAATCAGTTCGGCGAGCCTGAGGAGAAGAAGGACGAAGACAAGGGCAAGGAGAAGGAGGTGCCTCCTGAAGAAGAGACTCTTGGTCAGCGTCGGAAGAGACTACAGGCTGAGCGGGAGGCGCGAGAGCGTGAGATGACCCTCGGTGGCGGGCTCGGTGGCGGGCTCGGCATCAACCAGCCTGAAGCGCCGCCGCTGCGCAAGCAACATAGTCTGGCAGACGTCCTCGGCAGCCACCCAGGTATCCACCACGAGAACCCGGCCTTGAAGGAGCAGGCCAGGCTCCAAGAAGAGGAGCGCAAGGTTCGGGCGGCGGAGGCCAAGATGGCTGCCGTGCGTGCGCAGATGCCTACCAGCCTCGACAAGCCCAAGGCTCTGGCGCCAACTGGCGGGTACATGAACGGCAAGTTCAACGATGGTAACGGAGGTACCGCCAACAGCAGGCGCGTCAGTGGTCTCATCGACAACGTGCAGTCGCCCAACGCCGGCGCCGGTGTCAACATGGCACCCGGCTGGAACCGGTCCAGCATGGCTTTCAGCAGTTACGGTGCGCCCCTGCAAATGCCGCAACAACAGCAGCAGCCTGCATATGGCGGCTTGATTGGCCAGGCTGGCATGACCCAGATGGCTCACAAGCCGGCTATCGCCTCTGGCTACGGCAGTTACACCGCTGGAGGCATGGGCGGCGCGGGTGCCATGGGCGGGATGAACAACATGAACGGCATGGGCATGAACATGAACAACATGCAGATGAACCCGTATGGCGGCGGAATGGGCATGCAGATGCAGGCACAGCCTATGGCGATGAACATAGGCATGCAGCAGCAGCAAATGACGCCGATGCAGATGCAGCAGATGCAAATGCAAATGCAGCCCGGACAACCGCAGTCCATTGAGCGCTGGCGGCAGAGTATCATGTACTAGTCACCAGGCCTTGGATGCAATTACAAAAAGACCAACCGAGTCTCCGACTTGAATTACCCATACACTATAATCCGGTGGTCTTGGACGGTCTGTACATAGAAGACACACAATGGCATTGCGAGGGGCGTTGGAAATTGTTTCTTTTGTATTCAGGGACTTGTAAGGCAAGCATTGGAGATGGGAAAGGGAAGGGAGGGGGTCCTGGGTAATACCCATTGCATATATCAGTTTTAATGATTGCATTGGGTGGGGATGCAGCTAGCGATGGTGGTTTTCCAGGGTGTTTAGATATACACAGAGCCCTTGCGAGGGTTAACTTTCTCGTTCAGAATACTGTCCCAGTGGTGAGATCGTGATGTTGAAGTCGTGTACGGAGAGGAGAGTCACATTGCGATCATCCTGAGGGCGGCGGTCCGGGTGGGAAAGCCGAGATCACTTTGCACCCCTGACCATCGGCCCGCTATGATAATAATAGCAGCTCCGTGCTATAACCTACCTCGGCTTGGCGAAAGAAAGCTCCTGCGGATTCTTCTGGTTCAAAGGGACGTTGAAGGTGACACTGAGTTGCTCAGGAGGTAAATCTGCACGTGTCGTTTTTGGCTTGATGCGAAATGTTTCTTGGGTCCCGTCAGCCCTACACTGCTGGTTTGCGTTCAAGGGGGAGGGGGTGGTTGGTGCCGGGGAATTGCGATGTGCTTGAAACGGCGTGACGGGCTGGGACATGTGTCCCGATCTTTTCTAGGAGGCAGCCAGCTAAGGTACCGTAGCTTTGTGGTTTTCGGGCTCTGGGCATGCGCTGTGTCGTAATGTACTGTTGAGTTCTGGAGATGGCACTGTAGCGTATATGTGATTGACAGAGACAGGGACAGTGTGAGAGACATGAGACACTGTAATGCACCCCTGAGCTCCGCAGCAACACCCGTGGAAGGGGGCCTTTATCTTTTTTTTTATCGGACCGCGTATCGTATCGTATCGTGCCCAAGATAGCTTGCTGGCGCGTCCGGACCGAACACTGTTCAACCAGCAGTCAACGTTTGCTCCTTCCTGTGCCTTCTGATCTTTTCTTCTAATGCAATTGTAATCTTTTGTGTTTTTCTGGACTGCCTGCGACAACGAATACCCGCTGAACGGAATTGGAAAAGCGAACGGACTTGGAAACGAGGAATAGGGTGCTGCGCTGCGCGGGAATGGAAGCATCACCGCTGACGAGGCAGCCTCCGCCCGAGGTGTTTAAGCCCAAGGTTGTTGAGCTGTATGAGGGGTTGTTCAAGGTTCGTAAGTGTCTGGGAAGGGAATGCGCACTTGCGACCGGGGATTGCGGCTAACGGGCGGGCGTGGATAGGTGCGTCTTTCTCTTTTTGGTTCTTCCTTTGCGCGACTGGGGGAGGGATCTGCTACCCGGAGCTTCCACCGCGGGCGGGTTTGAAGCTTGCGACACGGCCTAGGTGGCCGGCTTTGGAGGTTGCCGTCCTCCTCTTGTGATCTGACACAGGCCGCCCCGATCCGACCCATTCAACCATCCTTTCCCGACGAAGCCGAAACCTCGAGACGGGCTAACATGGCGAGCTTTTTAAGGGCGACGAAGACGATGACCGGACCGAAGGTTTTTGGCGCGAGTTCTTCCTGCTGAGGCCGGACCGCGCGGCGCTGCGGCGGATACTGGACGGCCTCGGGCCCGCGGACATGCTTGCGCTCGAGGAGCAGACGAGGGAGCTGTTCGCGAGGGCGGTGGGCGCTGTGAAGAGCGGGCAGGGGGTTGCGGATCTGCATGCGCTTGATGTGAGTCCTTTCCCTGGTGTCAGGCTGGCGGTGGGAGTCGCGGAGTAGAGGACTAACGACGGCAGACATTGAGCATATTCCTGTGCTCGGCGCTTTCGAAAAAGTATGCGCACCCGAGTTCGGACATCATCAACGTGCTGGCGGGGATCGACCACGTCGACACCGTCTTTACGGACTTCGTCGGCGCGCTGGATCTGATTATACGGAGCGGGAAGAGCTTGGAGCTGAGGCAGAAGGCGGTTGAGGTGGTGCTCGCTGTTACGGCCGGGGCGTACCAGACGAGTCTGTTGACGTATTTCATTCAGAGGGATCTTTTTCCCGCGGTCATGAAGGTAAACTCCATATGCAAGAGAGTCTAGAGAGCTGAGAAAACTGACGGGAGACCAGTTCATCCAAGACGCGGACTCGACACAACGCATCCTCTACCCCTTTACCCTCCTCGGCCTGCTCGCCAACTACAACAAGTTTGAATTCCAGAACCCGTACCAGATGCGCCTCAACGATTTCGTCAACGAAGCGACGATACGGAAGATCATCAGGTGCGTGGGCGAGACGTGTCAGAGCTTGAGGACGCAGTACGTGGACGTCCAGGAGGACCTGCCCGAGGGTTGGACACTGAACGGGACGCTGCGGATGATGGGGCTGGGTGTCGTCGCCAGGGGGCCGAAGCCGGAGAAGAAGCCCGTATACGACGCCGAGACGATGAAGACCATGTTCACGAACTTGTGAGTATACACAACAACACCACACGCAAACTCACGCTTGCTAACGCACGATCACAGACCAGGGGAAGAAGCCGCCGTTCTCCTGGCCACATACGACTTCACGCACGCCAACAAGCTCTTCTGCTTCAACCTCGCCACACTCCCCGCCGAAAAGGGCGCCGAGCAGCCCCTCGCCGCCTTCACCTCGCTCACCTCCTACCTCCTCCAGCACGCGCACCTCTCGGAGCGCACGACGCACTACTCGCACCTCAACCTCATGGTGTTCCGCCTGCTGATCGAGGACCCGGTGCTCTGCAAGCGCATCTGCAGCGACGAGAGCAAGACGGCCGTGCGCCTGTGCCGCCAGCGCCAGCCGTACCTGCCCCTCGTCCGCGGCGAGCGCATCCTCGCGACGGCGGTGCTGGACACCATGGTCGACGGCATCACGCACAACCTGCGCCGCCGGCTCGACGTCGGGCTGTACACGCTGTGCGTGGGCATCATGCTGCGCGTCGTGTCGTACCTGAGCCGCAGCCGCACGCGGCTCGCGTACCACTGGGCGGACCTGTTCCGCGCGCTGCTGAATTTGGTCAGGTTCCTGACGACGTACGTCGCGGACCTGAAGGACCTGGCGCAGGTGGACCTGCTGGTGGACAACGTGGTAAACCTGCTCGCGCTATCGCTGTCGGCGGGCGAGGCGTTCCTGCCGGGCGCGGCGGCGTACGACGATTTGTTCTACAAAGTCGTCGAGACGGGGGACGTGCTGGGCAAGTTCAAGGAGAGCTACGCGCTGGGGAAGAGGCAGAGCAACTCGATCGACACGCTGATTAGTGTGAGCACGCATTACAAGGAGCTGCTGGAGGGCGGGCGCAAGAAGGCGAACCTGACGAGCGTGGAGGTGACGGAGGTGATTAAGCAGGGGTACGAGACGTTGAGTATACAGGCGAAGGAGGGGCTGGATACGTGGGAGAGGTATCGGGAGGCGGACGAGAGGAGTTTGTTGAAGAAGATGGCGAGGGCGGCGGTGGGGGATGTGAGGGGGATGGTTGAGCGGTCATGATGAGGGTTGGAAGGGGGTAGATTGTATGATTTTGTAATGATGATTGATATGATGGATAGTCTAATTGATGGTGTTCCATCCCATTTTGCTCAGGCCATTGATCTTGATGAGCGGTTATCGTCATTTTGTGAAGCAACAAGATACGAGCGAATACGTGTTAGCCAATGCTCATGGTGTCTTATGTGCTACCCATTGCTCACGGCTTCTTTGAGGATCAGATGGCCACGAATGGCGGCTGATGTCTTTGGCGGCTCATCGACCCCCACGTCCTTCTGCTCGGTTGCTGCCGAGAATGTAGCCGAAGCGACTTTTGACTTTCCGAGCAAACCTAATGCCAATGGTCTCATTCCAAAACATCATTCGATTTATTGCAGCATGAACGGAATCCATGAATAATGCACCTCAAGCCTTCAAGGTGTCAAATTACCGTCGGCCCTTCATCACATATCCTTGCTGTGTCGTCTTACCTAAGAGAGAGGTAACGCCACAGCGAGGGACGATGGGCAAAGAGTCATCCAACATGCTGTGAGGCTTGCTTTGTCATATCCACCCGCCGTTGACAAATTACCGGCCTCTGATTGGCTGAGAGCTCGAGAATTCCCGGCAGCGCAGTGGCCATGTCATAGCCGCGCCACGGGGCCACAGCCAAATCCTGTCAACTGACCCCTTCCCGGGCCCCAGCTTCTGCTCTGCTCTGCTCCGAGTGCAGCCACACTTTTGATCCGCAAACTCATTGGAGTCGAGTCCCCCCAACCCGACCAACCGAGCAAAAAACCTCCGACCTTACAAACAAACCGCCAACTTTCCGTTGCCGTCGGACTATTCCTCTCAACCGTTCCTAATAAAACCACCCTTCGACGTCTCCCCACGAGCACTCCTCAATTGCTGGGACCGCTGAGACGAAAGCAGACCGCCAGAACCGGTTATTTGCGCAAACAAACCAACCTACCCACCCACCCAACCTCACATCCAGATTCCCACGATGAACGCCCCGAGGATACTCACCCGCCTGGCGATCCGCCGCTCCTGCACCGCGATGCAATGCGCCTACTCGCCCTGCGTCGCCGGCCGCCGAGCCTACGGCAGCCCGTCCTTCCAGTCCTATCCTCTCTACCCCAACACCACGCCCCCGCCACCGCGTGCCGACGGCGCAGAGGGCTCGATCGCGCAGCCGGATCCCCTCCCGAAGGTCAACGAGACGAGGCCGCCCAAGATCTCGCAGCTCGCCACACCGCAGCAGCAGCAGCAGTCTTCTACCCAGCCATCAACGACACCCACAAAGCCCTCCACAGCCGAGCCAACACCAACAGCAGCCGCAAAGACCACGACGTCATCGACGCCCGCGACGAAGCCGACCCGCCCGCGGTCCAAGCTGCGCGCGCGCAAGGCGGCGATGAAGCTGACGCCCGCGGCGGTGGAGCAGCTGCGCGCGCTGTTGGACCAGCCGGAGCCGAAGCTGATCAAGGTCGGCGTGCGGAACCGCGGGTGCTCAGGGCTGGCGTACCACCTCGAGTTCGTGGAGAAGCCGGGCAGCTTCGACGAGGAGGTGGTGCAGGATGGCGTCAAGGTGCTGATTGACAGCAAGGCGCTGTTCAGCATCATCGGCAGCGAGATGGACTGGGTCGAGGACAAGTTGAGCCAGCGGTTTGTGTTTAAGAACCCGAACATCAGTGAGTACCACCCCCCTCCTTTTGGTGATATTCCTTGGGCTGTGGCCGGGGGAGGAGGTGAATGAGCATTGGCTGACAGGATGCACAGAGGAACAGTGTGGCTGCGGCGAGTCGTTCATGGTATGATGAGCTTAATGGCTGGGAGGGGCAATGTAGATTTGCTGCATGGGATACACAATTCATTCAGCGCCGCGGTCTTTTTCCATAGACAGAGACGAGTCGGTGGACGGCATTGGCATTGTACATATGCTGCAGCGTCGTGTACATCACGTTCGATCAGAGCATCAAATTGGGACTTGAGGTCACTGGACGGCATTGGGAGGCGTTTACTAGGTGTAATGATACCTATGAGAAAGACCTGGACCGCGAGTCTGGGCGAGAATCAACTATTTTCTCTCAATGCCTTCGCCGGCAGGCAATCGTAAAGACTGTAGTGGCGGTGTATCGGTTCCATCCCCCCTTCGATGAGATCATTCCCAGGGCGTTCGTCCCATCGGGGGCGGGCAGACGGATGGCACAGTGTATCTCCGAATCCGAGTGCCGGCACCGATCCATCCTCTCCACACCTTCCAAAAGAACAGCCGGCTTTGAGCGACAAGGCACCTGGCACCTGCCCAGGGTCCCGGCGGGTCATAGTCGGCTGTTGCGGAGCGAGGCGTGCCGGCCCCACTAGAATTTGCGAGAGCTCCCACAGCTGCAACTCAATTAAGGCGCGTCATCGGGAAAATTCCCCAGAGCGCGTCTTCCACTTACTTCCACTCGTTTGGCCATCTGCACCCCCAAGAAAGAATCGACCACATTCGTTGCCGCGACACCACGTTCACTTCACCAACTACCAACCCAATTGCTTTCCCGTCGTCGCATGCATCGAACCGCAGTAGCTCCATCAAAATGGCAGCCGTAGACTGCCCCATCTGCAACAAGCCAGTCAAGGAGACCCTCATCAACTCCCACATCGACTCCGGCTGTGTCTCCCACATCTTCAACCCCGACCGCACCACCTCCCCGACAGCAAGTCAAGCTCCCAACGGCACGCAGACGACACTTCCATCCGCCTCTCAGGCCAAACGCCCCGCGTCGAGCTTCTTCTCAACCCCAGCCGCCAAACGCCATGCTCCCCCGACCAAAGTCCTCACCACCCCCGCCAACGCGAACGGCGGCATCGCACGCACCGCAGGCGTGAAGCGCAGCTTCGACGATGGCCCCGGCGCCGCGCCTTCCCCCTCCTTTGGCGGCAGCACGGTAGTCGCGGAGCAGGACGACAAGGAAATGGCACCCCCCGAGACGGGCCCGGCCACAAAACGCACCAAGACGGCGCGAGCGGCGCCCCTTGCGGAACGCATGCGGCCCAAGACGCTCGACGAGGTCTGCGGCCAGGACCTGGTCGGCCCGAACGGCGTGCTGCGCAGCCTGATCGAGTCGGACCGCGTGCCGAGCATGATCCTCTGGGGCGGGTCCGGGACGGGCAAGACGACGATCGCGCGGTGCATCGCGCACAGCGTCGGGTCGCGCTTCATCGAGCTCAACGCGACGAGCTCCGGCGTGGGCGAGTGCAAGAAGTACTTCGCCGAGGCGGCCAACGAGCGCGCGCTCACGGGGCGCAAGACCATCATCTTCTGCGACGAGATCCACCGCTTCTCCAAGGCGCAGCAGGACGTGTTTCTGCACCCCGTCGAGTCGGGCACCATCACGCTCATCGGCGCCACAACGGAGAACCCGAGTTTCAGGGTGCAGGCGGCGCTGCTCTCGCGGTGCCGGACGTTCACGCTGAGCAAGCTGACGCGGGAGGACGTAGCGGGGATCCTGATGCGCGCGATCGAGGAGGAGAACGCGAAAGGGGGAGGGGTGCCGAGCCCACTGATCGACGCGGAGCTGGTGACCTACCTCGCGGCCTTCGCGGACGGGGACGCACGCACGGCGCTGAACCTGCTCGAGCTCGCGTTGTCGATATGCAACCGGCCGGGGATCACGAAGGAGGACATCAAGGCGTCGCTGACCAAGACGCTGGTGTACGACCGCGCGGGCGACCAGCACTACGACACCATCTCGGCGTTCCACAAGGCGGTGCGGGGGAACGACCCGGACGCGGCGCTGTACTACCTCGCGCGGATGCTGCAGTCGGGCGAGGACCCGCTGTTCGTGGCGCGGCGGATGGTCGTGATCGCGTCGGAGGACGTCGGGCTCGCGGACAACACGCTGCTCCCGCTCGCGACGGCGGCGTATACTGCCGCGCAGCAGATTGGCATGCCTGAGGCTAGGATACCGCTGGCGCACTGCGCGGTGGCGCTGAGCCTTGCGCCGAAGAGCACGAGGGCGTATCGCGGGCTGAATAATGCGTACGCGGCGCTGAGGGAGCCGGGCGTGGCGGCGTTGCCTGTGCCGTTGCATTTGAGGAACGCGCCGACGAGGTTGATGAGGGAGATGGGGTACGGGGCGGAGTACAAGTATCCACCGAACTATAGGGAGGGCCGGGTGAGGCAGGAGTATCTGCCCGAGGAACTTCTGGGGAGGCGGTTCTTGGAGGATAGGGATTTGGGGACGGAGGTTGATCCGGACTTGGAGATGGAGACGGAGATTTGAAGGGGGGATGGGAAGGATGAGGAGAAAAGTTGAGGTTGGGACTGCGTTAGCATGGCATTGCGGGCTTTTGGGTTTATTAGCCTTCTTGGGATGGATGCAACTGGATTTGGTTGCGATGCATAGCGCCGAGGACTGGACTGGACGGGCCGTCCCTTGGACATGATGATGAATACACTTGTATTAATATGTAAGATTGGATGGGTATTGATATCGTGGTGCGACTCGTATCATGAGTTTTCGTCGGTGTTTGTGGAAATAGTAGCCGGGGAATGAGCTCCTGCGGTTGTTGATGCCTACCTTAAGGTAAATTACCTTAGGTAAAGAATCCTCTGGTGACAAGAAACGTTTTCTCGATTCAATTGGGGTGGTATTCCTGTATCTTCACACAAACGTCTCAGTCGAGATTGTTCTCTGCACGACGGCGCCGTAGACGTCGGCTTGGGTTGGGGCCTTAAAGACCCGGCAGTACCCCCGCACGATGTGACGTGCCCTCCCATGCCAGTTGCTCCCGGCTTATAAAACCGGGCTAACTACTTCTTCAATCATGCCCGCTGCGATTGGATAGCGGCAATACCTAACCAACTGCCAGTTCAACTTCCATATCAAACCTCATTACAGAATCTCCAGTTATTGCACTCTAATGCTCAATGGAATCCAAAAGCCTGCCAACCAAGATCCCAATGGGCAAAGGAGGCACGGGGAAGACGAGTAGGGGAACTAATAGACACGCACGAAGCTCGACAAAAGTGCTGAAGGACTGGTTCGCCGCTCATGATGCGTATCCATACCCTTCGGACCAGGAGAAGGAGGACTTGCAAAGCCTTTCCGGGCTCAGCATCCGGCAGATCTCATACTGGTTTGTCAATGCCCGCCGTCGAAGGGGCGTGAAGAAGCCGACGACCCTGACAGAAGCATCGCTTCCGGAGCTGCTGCCGAGCACCGAGCCGGCGACCAGCCAGAACCCAGAATGGGATGCCATGAACCCATTGGATCGCTGGAGGACCTCGCCGCCCGAGGAAGAGCCCGTATCGTTGGACGCCATCGCAGAAGCCATCGGGTCATCACAGAGTCTCCCTGGCCTTAGCTCCTCCATCGACTGGACCGAGCCAGCGAGCTGGAGCCAGGGCCAGACCGACTCCATCAGCTCCCTCGGATCCTCCGACCAAAGCAACTCCAGCAACTCCTCCGCACACTCATACGCCTCCGACTCTCTCTTCAACATCCGGACCCAAGACGGCCGTCGCCGCAGACGGCGAAACAACCAAAAGTACCGCAACCCGCTCGCCGCACCCCCCGCCGACGGCGCCAAGCGCATCTACCAGTGCACCTTCTGCACCGACACCTTCAAGTCGCGGTACGACTGGACGCGGCACGAGGGTACCCTCCATCTCGTCCTCGAGAAGTGGACATGCCTCCCCTCTGGGCCGCGGTACTCCGACCCCGCCGAGGCCGTCGCGCGCTGCGTCCTCTGTGACGAGGCGGACCCCTCGGAGCAGCATCTGGAGAGGCACAAGTACCGCGAGTGCGCGGCCAAACCGCTCGCGGCGCGCTCGTTCTACCGCAAGGACCACCTCCGGCAGCACCTGCGCCTCGCGCACGGCGTGGACGACGTGTTGCCGTCGATGGGCGGGTGGAGGGCCAAGATCACGAGGGTGAAGTCCCGGTGCGGCTTTTGCGGCGAGACGTTCGGGCTGTGGGCGGACCGGAATGATCATCTCGTCGAGCACTACCGCGCCGGGGCGCTGATCAAGGATTGGAAAGGGTGTAGGGGTCTAGAGCCGGCTGTTGCGCTGCTGGTGCAGAATGCGATGCCGCCCTATCTGATCGGGGCGGAGGCGAACAACATTGAGCCGTTCAGCGCGTCGAGGGTGGCTTCCAAGTCGCCCGCGGCGGATGGAGAGAGGCATGCTGTGCCATCGCAGTTTGAGTCCCTGACGGCCAGGCTGGGCGACTACGTTAAGGCCGCGATGGAGAATAGCAGGCCGATCACGGACGACTCGATCCGGAGGGAAGCGCGGATGATCGTGTACGGGGATGATGACCCCTGGAACCAGACTCCCGCCGACAATGGAGAGTGGCTGCGATTATTCAAGGCGGGCTACGGTCTGGCGAGCGATGAGAAATTGCCAGGCTCCAGCGGACTGGATCCTCCTCATGCATGGCCGGTTGATTTACCATTCGATACGTTTCCCGATATGAACACAACAATCGTCACGCCATTCACATTCGAGAACATGCAGAATGCAGCTATATCGAGTTCTGCGTCTATCCCGCTGGACTTTTGTGGTGCTCCGGTTCAAGACGTCGCAGGGGATGGGGTGGCTGTTCCGTGGTCGTGGCAGACTCCAGAATGCCTAGCTGAGTTCAGGCAGATGGGATGCATGCCATCAATGGAGATGCCTACAGCTACTGAAGTTTGCAACATCAACGACCCATTCTTTGGGGCTCCTGTGTACCCAGAGCTGTTGCCTCCCGAGGAACAATTTAGGAATACAGCATAGTGGACTAGTCGTGCTCGGTAAAGAAACCATTTTCATCTCCATTTATAGCTTCTCCAGTCTTGAAATGCCTCTTTCACGATGTCTACTCATCTTTCACAGCTTCAGCCAAAGCCAGCTCAAGATCCCCCTTCAGATCCTCCACATCCTCAACACCAATACTCAACCGAACCAAATCATCACATACACCCACGCTTTCCCTCGCTTCGCGTGGCATGGACGCGTGCGTCATGCGCGCCGGTATCTCACACAGGCTCTCCACGCCGCCCAAGCTCTCCGCCAGCGTGAGGTACTTCGTCGCCTTACAGAACCGTGCCGCCGCCTCCCCGCCGCCCCTGATGCGGAACGAAACCATGGCGCCGCCCATACCCGCCCGGTGCTGTCTCTGCGCGATGTGTCTCTGCGGGTGGGAGAGCAGGCCTGGGTAGTTGACCGCCAGAACGTGAGGAGACGCCTCGAGAAGACTCGCGAGAGCCGCCGCGCTGGCTGAGGCAGCATGGACTCTGAGGTGCAGAGTCTTGAAGCCGCGGTGGGCCAGCCAGCAGTCAAAGGGGCTCGGGACGGACCCGGCTGCTATCTGGACGAAGGCGAGCTTTTTTTTGAGGTCGTCGGAGTTGAAGGCCACGGCGCCCATGAGTACGTCCTAAGACGCTGGTTAATAGGATCTGAGGTTGGTGGATAAGACGGCGACGACTTACGCTGTGCCCGTTGATGTACTTCGTCACGGAGTGCAGGACGATATCGGCGCCGTGGTCCAGTGGATTCTGGAGATACGGCGACAGCATCGTGCTGTCCACGACCACCAAAATGCCCTGCACATGAGCAATCTCCGCCACGGCACGAATATCAACCAGCGAAAGGGTAGGATTGCTCGGCGTCTCGATCCATATAAGTTGCGTATCATCCCTAATGAGCCTGGCCACGTCTCTTCCGAGAGAGGGCGCAAAGTCGACCGTGACGCCGCCAAGCCTCGTAAGGAAACGGTACGTGCCACCGTACAGGTCCGCGTTGCAGATGACGTGTCCACCGGGGGTGACGAGGCCGTGGACCACAGCAGCCGTTGCCGCCAGTCCGGAGGAGAAGGCCAGGGCGTGCTTGGCGTGCTCGAGTGTTGCGAGGGCTTGCTCGAAGCTCTCGCGGTTGGGGTTGTTGGAGCGGGAGTAGATGTATTTGCTCGCGGGCTGGTTGATGTCTGGCTGGGCGAAGGTTGTGGCGAGGCATATCTGGAGGAGGGCATAGTGTCAGTGAGAGGTGTTGCAGAGATTGGGGAAGGGGGCTTGGATGGCGGACCTGCTCGGAGAGGGCGCCTGTTGTAGGGTCGTGAGGTAGGCTGGCGTGGACTGCGTTAGTGCCGAAGCCGAGCTGCTTCTCGCAATGCTGTTGAGAGGGCATGGTGTCACACGGTTCGGCTAATGGTTTGGCGAAACTGGAGGCGTGCTGCATTATGATTCTAGACGATCGCTTGCCATTTATGCACCAAAGGATAGACGCTTTTGACACAGGGCGTGGGAGCTGCCACCGACGGAATGGGGGTTCTTGGGGGGTCCTCTCCGATTGGCAATGGCCTTGCCCTATTGTCTTTACGCAGTCACTCTAATGTTACTGTTAGGGCTACGTCGCTATCTGATTTATAAAGCCTACGTCTTGGTTCACCAGCACGTACTTCACAACCAGGAAACTATACCCGCCATGGCAGAACTACCTTTACCCCCAATCTTAGACTCGGCCATCCACCTCATCGGACAGACGCCGATGGTCCGTCTCAACACTCTTCCCCAGTCAGAGGGCATCAAAGCCGAGGTCCTGGCCAAGCTGGAGTACCACAACGCCGGGGGCTCAGTGAAGGACCGGGTCGCCAAAGCGATGGTCGAGAAGGCCGAACAGGAGGGAAGACTCAAACCAGGCGACACCCTGATCGAGGCAACCAGCGGAAACACGTACGTGCCCCCTACCATCCCTCATTTCGTTCAGCAGCTAAGAAAGATTACTAACGCGCCCCCAGCGGCATCGCTCTCGCCCTCATGGCCGCGGTCAAGGGGTACAAATGCATTATTACGATATCAGAGAAGATGTCCGAGGAAAAAGTCCTTGTCCTCAAATCTCTCGGTGCGAAGATCGTGCGGGCCCCCGCGGGCGTGCCCATCACCTCGCCCGACTCCATCATCAGCGTCGCCCGGCGCCTCAACGCTTCAACGCCGGACTCGCACATCCTCAACCAGTACACCAACCCGAACAACCCGTTGGCGCACGAACTCGGCACCGCGCCGGAAATATGGACACAGTGCGACGGAAAGGTTGACATTGTGGTCGCGGGCGCGGGGACGGGCGGCACGATCACCGGTCTCGCGTAGGGACTGCGGCAGCAGAATCCTGGCGTGGTCATCGTCGGCGCGGACCCCGTCGGATCTGTGCTCGCGCAGCCTGGCGAGTTGAATGCGGAGAAAGGGGAGTACAAGGTCGAGGGCATCGGGTACGACTTCGTCCCTGGGGTGTTGGATCAGTCTGCCGCCGACGTCTGGGTCAAGACGGGGGATGAGGAGGCGTTTGGGTACGCGAGGCGGCTGATTAGGGAAGAGGGGCTGCTGTGTGGCGGGTCGTCTGGGGCTGCGATGGCTGCGCTGGTGAAGTTTATGCGGCGGAGGCCGGAGATGAATCGGGAGGATGTGCGGGCCGTGGTGATTTTCCCGGATGGTGTGAGGAACTATCTTACCAAGTTTGTGGATGATGGGTGGATGGAGCGGAACGGCATGTCGTCATAAATTACGCTATCATAAATGCGAACTCGCTGAGGTCTTATTGTTGCCAAGAATGTTCCCAAACAGGAGAGTTCATGAAGTTGATGTGAACCACACTTCGAGTCTCGCGTTCCGGCTTACACCGCCGGAAAGGCGGGTCCCCGCATGGCCGGCCCCACTCGGAAGTGTCATTCAACGCCCTGAGAAATGCCATCCGACGCCTTGAGAAGTGTCAGTCAACGCCCTCCAAGAATATGTCAGGCCACATGTCACGAGGTGACAGAACTTCTGGCTCGTGTCCATTCAAAATTTGCAAGATTTATGCTGGAGCATGCTAAGTCCCCACCTCAGTCTACGCCCTTGAGGTGCCATTTTGTTGGAAGCTCATGATGGAAGTACGCGAGCGCACCTCGTGACGGGCGAAGCCATTACGTCGTTCGCTCGGGATTGTTTAGAGGCAATTCACTTGTTTCCCTGGACCAGACGCTGAGTATAGGTCTCAAGCCTTGGCCTAGCTAGGTTCGCGCGAGTTAGCTGTAGGTTAACCAAATGCTTGACGCTCACGCCTGTGTTTCAAAAAATAGCACTCAAAGCCTGTTATCTTTTATTCACGGTAGAAGAGTTTTATGATGCTAGGGAAACATAGCTTCTGAACATCATTGCTCATTGGCATGAAAATACTACCCGTGCACTGTTGTTACTCGATGAAAATGATTTCATAAACAAAACTGCGAGAGCATTCCAACCACGATTATCCCTAGCTACAATTTCTCAGTCCACACACTGACCATATCTGTTCCCTTTCCGTTCTCGTAAGACCGCGGCGGCTTGAAATACTCCACCCGCCGGAAAGCTCCCTTGAGACTTTTGTCTTCCGCGTCCTCGACCACCGGCTCCTGAATAAGACCATCGCCACCCTGCGCGAGAATGTTCCAGTATACTCCGCGAAGACCCCAAGGCGGCCCCGGCATACCGAGGTCTTTGTAAAGAGGGAACTCGAGGCAGACAAGAACACCGGTGAGCGAGAGTAGCTCCTGCATACGCAGGGCCCAGTCTTTCCGCATCTCTGGAAGGAGAGCGCAGAGGAACTGCAGAGACGGGTTAGCGGCCCGGAGTTTTATGGAATTGACTGAAGTTGAGGGAACAATACCGTGTAGTCAAAGATGAGATCGAATCCCTGGAAGTCGTCTCCGCTGCTGCTGGCGCATTGCGCCTCCCAGTCACGCTTGAAGAAGTCACCCGCCAGAATCTTGACCTCGCCGGGCTGTGCCCCGAAGACGCTGTCATGCGAGCCGAAATTGTACTCTCCCGGTTCCGGCAGTTCCGCAGCGGCGTACTGGCGTGCGACATCCGCACCCATTTCCGAGACTTCGAGGCCGTAGACGTCGTATCCATGGAGCGCGAGCATGACCACGTCATATCCCTTGCCACACCCCTGATGCGTTGGAAAAAGAGCAGTAAGTATCTTAGAAGAGCGTAGGATATGCTGAGCCAAGTGAATCACTCACGGGGACAAGCGCCTTCAGACGACGACCAGTAGACGGCCGAGGGAGGACTTCAGAGCGAGACTCTATGAGGTCGATGAGGGCCGGGGACGGTTTGCCTCTATCCCAGAGGTTGCTCTCGTCTGATTCCCACAGCTCTGACCAACCGGATGACTGCTTCTCACGATCTCTGTGATGAGTTATCAGCCCTGTGCTTTAGAAATTAATGCCATGGTAGTGCCCTTCCGGATAAATTCCTGCGAAGAGTGGCCCATACCTTGAGGTGAAATGCGAGATGAGGCGGCCAGGGCCATCCGTGTTTTCTGTCGCCATTTCGACCTTTCCAGTAAGATCAATGAGTTCTAGTATGATTGAGTTATCTAGGAAACACGACAGAGCTGTAAGAAGCCACGGGAATCAGCTGGTGTTTATAGTCTAGCTGCAACGGAGCCGGCAGTGCGGAAAGGAAACCCCGGCAACATTAGTGGCGCCTTCCACTGCCATCCAACGCCCTATGACAAAGCAACCTGCAGTGCACTGTCAAACAGGTGCGATCGCCTCTCTAAGCTGCTAACCCTACAAATGCTGCTTTGGAGAGGTGAAATGATGCCTGAGGTGAGGTTGGGGTGATTTGGGTCAGCCGAGGTGAAGAAAAACGGCGGTAAATGCAACGCCCCCTCAAACGATGCACGGTCTTCGAAGTTTTGTTTGGGGAAGGAAGTCAGGCAAAAATATTGATGACGAAGAAAATTATTTTGCACATTGCATCGAGGAGGGCGGCAATTGTGGTGAGACTCTCAGACGGCGATTACGGACTTGTTGAGGTTGGCGCGCATTTTGTTTGATAGATGTCAGCTCATTGCCCTGTCACGTCCAATCACGATACATGCCTATTAGATCTTGGTTCACAACTCACAACCCAGAGAAGGAAATCGAGAAAAAAAAGGACGATATTATTCATGTTCAAGATAACAAGAGGTAAGGAACTGAAACAGTCCTATCTCGTGCTCCATGCACAAAATTTGACAGCCTTCATCAAGTATCTCAAGTATAGCTTGCTCATCCATATCTTGAGGTCTTGAAGCTTTCAAGGCGTGAGCGTGCATTTGAGGTCTGTGTTGCATCTATTGATACACTTCACGTAGACATCGTTGCTTCCTTTCCCGAAAAAGCATTCTTCCCGGCATAGATTACACTGTATCTCTTTAGTTGCAGCGCTAAGAGTAGTCAGATGGCTTGCTTACCGCTGTGTTCTGGCGAGGTTCGATGACAGTAGGGCTTGCAACGGCAAGGCCTGCGAATAGGGCGAATAGCGTGATAGAAAATTGCATTTTGTAATAGGATAATAACGTCGGTCAACGACAATACTTGAAGATTAGTGAGGGCGAATGAAAGATGGAAGAGAGAGCGCGTATCAGCCAGTTGTAGAGAATGAGTAGATGTGCTAGAAACCCTCTTAAAGGCGAGGAATTACAGAGCGAGTATCACTTTTTTAAATAGACATGCCAAGAGGAACAGTTTAGAAGCAATCAGATAATTACCGCAGTATAGACATGGTGCTCTTTACAGTTTTGTCTGGGTATTGCGAGTACCTTAGGTCAGGGGAATCAACTCTGTTGTCATTATCCCCTGTTCTGCACTTTAAACTTCCGCAGGCCAGCACCCCAACTGATGGGATCGTAACACTGGGGCTCCGTGAACTGACTCGATGCTATGTTCAGCTGACACAAATCTGACACAACGCCAATGAAAAGGCCTGTCATGGTCCCTAATCAGAACATGAAAAGGCCCGCCAGGTCGCTTATTGGGGTGCTCGATGTGCTAGAGTGCGGTTACGCGCGTGGAAAATTTCCCTTTTCATACTCAAGCGGTAATCTTTCTTCAGACAAGCTCTCCTGTCGGCTGTCACTGGTGGACCAGCACCCTAGGCTTCATGTCACGCCCTTGGACAGCTCAGGGTCCTAAAAGGTCACTCGGCACAGTCGGCAGCGGGACCAGTGAGCAGGGTCAAATGACGGGCATAACAATGTGGCCTTGACGGAGGACGGGAACGAGTGCCTTCTCTTGGGTTGCGACCTGTCCAAAAGAAAATACGATCAGCGTCGATGCCAACAAAGCCGCCCACTAGTTCACTAATCTACTACTTACATATTGGAGCTAACTACCTCACCAAGTGCAGACGAAAGCAATGGCGACGGCAGACCAGAGATCTAAGCTGATAACCAATTGCACCACAAAGCGAAAAGCTTCGGCAACAACTCCCATGGCTTTATCCCCTGTTCTGCACTGGTAACCACGCCGGCCAGCGCCCCGATTGGTTGGGCTGTAGAGATGTAGCTAGCGTATCTGCCCGGTCACCACGTTTCACTCCCTAGGGCTGGTTCCTCAGAACTAAAGTCGCTGTGATACAAGACCAGGTGACTTAAAGTTCCTGAAGTACCACGCCAAGGTCTTTCTGAGCATGACTTTGAAGGAGATTTGTGAGGTTACGGAAGTATGTCTCCAAAAGATTTGTCCAATGCAGTGTGCCTGATCAGGCGAAGATTAGCACAAATGCAAAATGGTGGGAAATATGAGCCGTAGTGAGGCAGTTTGGAAATATATGATCAAGCCACCAACAGTCTGAAACGCTACGCCCACCTGAGTCAATGACAGACTGATGTGATTCGTTAGAGTCGGAAAGCGTGTAAGGCATAGCGATTGAGGACTCATCACGTCACTGGACATGTACTTTAGGACTTGTCCAGAGGTTTGTCTAGAGAGATAGGCGCAATGAACAGTCGGCGATAACATATGGGCGTGCTCCCACCACTTTTTAGAAACACGAACGATCATTATTTGTCTAATCATTAATTCTAGTGTCAAGAGGGTGTAGTGAAACAGGGAAGGTTCCAAGGACAAATGTGCACAAAGCGGAGGCAAAGTCAAACCGCTCTGGATGATCGTCAAATACAATGCGACCAGCTGATCTAACAAAAGCCAGGCAGACATACGGCCCCCAAACTCGTGAGCTTATAAACTAAAACAGGCCTCTCCAACTCAGATCTGCGGGATTAGAGCGCCAGGATTGGAAGGTAGTCATGTGGTCATAGAGCCTGCTTGATGCAGCCTGGTCAGCCGTAGCTTGGTTGTCGATAGTCGCCGATCTCTACGCAGCCTGATTGCTGCTGATCGGTGTTGCATGTAACTTGATCTAGAAAGTTCATACTCGCTCAAGGACAAGATCATCCGTACACAATTGAGGCTGAGCCTGGCAAAAAGGTTCAAAGTCCAGAAATCCATAATTCTTACCCATTCCCTGCCTTCTTCCTTCTTCGTTCCATGGTGGCCCCTTTACTCTGCTGGAATTTCCACAACTCTGAGGCTTACATCGCAGCCCTCAGCTATTTTATGATTATTGAGAGCTGTTTTAACATCCATTGATTGTCCCATATCCCATCTTTCCTCTTTGCATCATTGGGCTGTTTGACGTGATGAGCGCCTTCCTCCGGCCCCCAGGCCCCGGTGCCGCGGGTGAATACACGCATAATCCCGTCTATTCCTTGGGGCAAGAGGTCGATTTATCATGGCAGAAGGAGTATGATGTGATCGACTTGATCCTGACCCAGTCATCACCTGAGAGAGATCCATCCGTCTATCTTCTGAGTGAGTTCATCTCGTTACCCTGAATCATTGACTTCTGACGCCTGGCCTGCGCAATGCTGACAAGAGATTTGGATGCAGACGGAACGAGCGCCGGAGGCTATCGATGGAACGTCAGTCTTGACGGTCTAGCATTCCCCGACTGGTACGACCCGACGCTGAGCCCCGTCTACTTTTTCCGAATGCTACTAGCTGGAACCACTGGGGGCGGTACAACATCCCATTACTTCAACATTACTGAAGCTGCCGTCTCGGCAACCACTACATCATCATCTGCGGTCACATCGCCGACTGCGTCTTCCACATCGGCGTCGGACTCGACACCGGCTCCCCTTAAAGACGAGGGAAAGGGGCTGTCTGGTGGGACTATAGCAGGTATCGCGATTGGAGCGACGCTAGGGACTCTCGCCGTGGGCTGTCTGGTGGGATGGATGGTCTGGAAGCAGATACGAAAAAGGAAGCAGGCGCTGGCTGGCCAGAGCGAGAAGTCGCTGCACGAGGTCCATGGGCAGAGTCATGTTCGTTATGAGCTTGGTAGCTCAGATCAGAGAGATGCGAGACATGAATTGCCAACCGATCGGAACTGGTGATGTTGTAAGACGAGGATTCTTTGAGTTACCTTGAAGCGTTTTACGTTACGATTTAAATGTATACTAGTAGTATGAGCAATTGATCATGGAATTTGCAGATTAAAAGTTGACATACATCATTTATTGAAACCCGATACATCTAATGGGACGAAGTGTTGTTTTTGAATTAAACCCCCTATTCGGAAAGAGAAGCTCTCCTCAGTAAGGCTATTGAGACGTTGGCTTGTCAACACTGCGAAGAAAAGGTTATAAGGGAAGAAAGGTAACAACACATCCCATTCATTGAGATCATTACTTGATGCTGTATAGGTAGGTATGCTGGCCAAGATCCACTGGATCATTACCGGATCGTAATAACCTCATTTTCAGAAAGAGAGTGTCTCCCAAACGGCCTTGTATTCGCGTTCGAAGCGGGCTCCTTCATCCCTTTTTCGTATCCAATGCGAGAAATGGACCCAACCGTTCCGAGTGACACAAGCAACGGCGCACATCGTTCCACAAAGACGAAATACTGAGATACGAGAAATCAAATTAATGCATCGCTCAATCGGACAGCAGACATTGTTGAGATGATGATCTGCTTCGTCCTCACAAGAAAGTCTACGTAGTACCTCTCCACCCCTTGCGGATATGCTTGGCGAAAGGGTTGTGTACATACCACCTCAAATCAAGACCTCTCGTCAGTTCAGAAGCTCATTATGCATCAAGTCTGTTGCCTCTCGGGAAAGGAGGGCAGTGAAGTTTCTATCCGTTCACGCAACCATGAAGTTCCGGCGCTCTGCTGTCAGAAACTCGGTCGACCATGCCTTGATGCTTTTCTGGTAAATCAATCTTCCCGCCATGGGCTCTAACGCGCTTCTTCCAAAGAGAAGCAGACGGAATACGATAACTGACACGATCTTCCAGGGCTGTCCTGTTCGTCGCCGTCACCGCACAGTCTCCCCACCCAAGCAGAGCAGAGTGCATCGGAGCGAATACCACCGGGCCATGCTTGGTTACCCCAAACTGCTTCGATCCGATGTACTCTACGGCGGTCATTGACAAAGACGAGAACATGACCCTGCTCTCTCCCCATCGGCGGATCTCTGGACATTTCGAAGGCACCGACGTCGATTTCAACTTTTACCTTCCCCCGGAGACACGGTGGCAGGGTCGTTTCTTCAGCTACGTCTACCCGGACCAGAACTCTACGGCCATAGACCGGCGGATTGGCTTTGCACTGGACAGTGGTGCCTATCTCATTCAAGTCTCTGGCACTTCGGGATATCGTGCCGACGCCGCCGCGGCGAAATTCTCTCGGTCCATCTTGGCCAACTACTATCGCTCGGTCCCGGAACATGTCTATGGTTACATATATGGCGGCAGCGGAGGCTCATACATGACGATCGGTGCGATGGAGAACACTGCTGGTGTCTGGGACGGGGCGGTACCCATTGTGGTGGCAACGCCAGTTTCTATTCCGTTGAACCATGCGGTACGCAACTTGGCCTCAGCAGTGCTCAGGAACAAGTCATCCCACATCGTTGATTCGATCAGAAGCGGAGATGTAGAAAAGGCCATGTCGAATCTCAGCGAGACCGAAGCATCTGTGTTCAGGGAGGCGACGCTTTCGGGCGTTCCGATAGAAGCCTGGGAAAACTTCAGCGGCCTCGCGAGCAGCCGAATGCTGAAACTTCTATTGAGCTCGATCAAAAACCTCGACCCTTCTTACGCGGACGACTACTGGAGCAAACCAGGATATCTGGGGACTGATAGTTCCACTCTATCCGACGTGCTTCATTCCAATTTTGTCAATCTCACGGCGACAATCCAAGAGGTCATCGCAATCATCGATGATGACGACTTTGCTTTCAACATCACACTCGAGGGAGTTCCTGAAAAGATTGCCAATTTTGATGGCCTGGAATTCACCCTCCTCGATAGGGACTGTTCGTCCAAGATCGGTGCCTTGACCGGAACCTGGAACCCCTCCACCAAATCCATCATGGTGACCAAGGAAAATCCGGACATCGTACTGAGCAATCTGACCCAGGATCGGCGAATCCGCGTCGATAATAGCTGGTTCATTGCAATGCATACATACCATCGCCATCAAATCCCGAATCGACCCGGTTTCTACGGATTCGATCAGTTCATGGGACCCGACGGAGCCCTTTTGTATCCCCAGCGAGCCGTACAAGCCGCTGCCGAAGTGGCCAAGGGCGCTTGTGGTGGTTGCACCCATAGCGGCAACATCACTGGGAAGATGATCATAGTGGACAACCTGCTTGATATCGACGCCTTCCCATGGCATGCAGATTGGTACAAGTCTCAGGTACAAAGGACTCTCGGTTCCAGTTTCGATGACAACTTCCGGCTGTGGTACAACGAGCGCGCCGACCACTTCTTCGAGCCTGTCGCGGAGAACCTGAAAGACTTCATTATTGACTACACTGGGATGTACGAGCATGCGATGCGCAGTCTCTGTGCCTGGGTTGAGGACGGTATTCAACCACCAGCATCGACGAGTTATCAAGTTCAGAATAGCCAGGTCATTCCTTCTGGCGAAGCAGACGATCGGCATGGTATCCAGCCCATTGTAGAGCTTTCCATGAATCCGTCGCTTATTGGAAACATTCAAAGGGGTACCGAGGTAAATTTCATTGTGCGGGCGGTAGCACCTGTTGGGGCTGGCAAAATCGTCGCTGTCGAGTGGGATTCTCTGGGGGGCAAGACGTTCGAAAGCCTGCCATTTGGCGAACCTAACGAATTCGTTGACCTGGTTGTGCCATTTGTTTATGATATTGCTGGCACGTATCTGTGTGTAGTCAAGATTACTTCTCAACGTGAAGGAAACCCATCTTCCCAATTTGCTCGGGTAAGCAACTTGGGGCGGATCCAGGTGGTAGTACGATGAAATACTGCTAGAAATATTCATTATTGCTTTCTTTTCTAGCAGATGCGATGAGGCCCAAGTCTATGAGACTGTTTGTTGCCTTGAAAGATTAAATGAACGTGATATAGAGCCAATCTCGAACATCAGGACACCAAGCCTCACACCTAAGGGTTCTTATAGGGCGGTGAGATCTTGTTGGCCCCATCCTTCAAGACTGGGGGCTTCATCTTCTTCAAGTCCACGTCGGGCAGGACACGTAAATTGACCGGGTGTCCAGCCTTTATGCGCTCGCCAAATCCATCGGCTGGCACTGCCCCGATAGCCTTTCGCTCCTCATCGGAGAGATGGTTGTACTCGTTAGTCATGCACACACCGCATATCTTGCAGAATGTCTTGTTCAGGACGTGACGCGAAAAGCTGTATCGGCCGATGTTGGCGGGTTCGGTGGCGTGGAGAACGACTCGTTCCTTCTTCGGATAGATCCATCGGTAGGCGTTCTGTTTCGTTTCCGTCAGCGTCTGAACTTACACCGCCAAAGAAACACTTCGACTGACCCTCACGCAGATACTGCAGTTGCACTCGGCTGTTTCATTGTCATTTGTTTCATCCAGCGGCTCGCTCATGAAAGCCACGGTGACTGCGCCGCAATGACAAGAGCCGGTGTAGAGCTTGCTGCCGTCGATGGCAGGGGGCAGCGGCCCGTTATGTTTGGGAGATGCATATTTGTCTCCGAGAGCAGCGCCATCGTACCTGGGAACAAGCTGATTAGCCAAATGGAGTCCTCCTAGGATTTATCTTCCAAAGAGATATGCATCTTCAAGAAAGGCTCACGGTTGCTTCTCCAACTCAAAAACATCAATACCTTGAATGGTACGAATCTGCAGATGAAGGATGGTTTAGTGCCTCATCGTGTGCATATGGAGTATCGCGATAAGGAGGCCACTCACGTTGAAGGCTCTGCCGTTCCCTCCAATGAACTCCCCCATAACAGGCGTGGCACAAGTGGGACAGAACTGCAAAGTCAATGTCAGCGACTAGGCTAGGTATCTTGTCTTCGCATATTCGTCATCGAATTTGTACCTTATGAGCAAGCTTCTTCGCACCAAAGGTGTATTGCGAAAGAGCATTCTTGTCGCCTTTGACAATATCGAACTTGCTTCCTTCTGTGGGAAAGACCCAGAGGTACCCTTTCTTGTGGCAGATGCTACAGTTGCATTCCATCGCCGACTTGATCTCCGGTAACTCAGCTTCGTAAACGAAGGATCCGCAATGGCAATTGCCTCGATACAGACGTAGACTTGGCTGTTGCTGAGATGCATCTTTCTCCGGCTCTTGCTGCTGTGCATCCCCCGCTTTCTTGCTTCTTGTGGTGACCATGTTGGGCGGCCTGACGGTGGTCGTACTCAATATGATCAACGGAATTAGGATCTTAGAGGAGGACTAGAAGAAAACAGTCATGAAGAGATCGTTGACGGATAATTTCGAAGGGAAAATAGAGATTAAGGTTGCAGGCTGCTAATTAAATGGCAGGCTTTGGAGCATAATTACCCCGCGTTCTGGAGCCCCTTGCATGGGAAGGCAGGCATCGCCGGTCAGCATGAAGGGAAGCGGCGTTATCTGAGGCCGAACAGTGCCTAGCAACAGACTTGTGGCGTTCCTCGCTTGAAATGGAACATACACTTGCAACTCTGATATCCTTCGGATTGGTGCGGTTCCTTCGCTGTTTGTGACTCACCGCTGTTAACAAGTTCCACTTGAGTGAGGTGTAAGACTCTGATGTTGCCCCGAACATCTCTGTCCCACCAATTCACACCACATCTACAGATTTCCGTAGGGCAGTGTGAATGGTAGCTTGAGTGTTGAGCATTCGGGAGCGGGGTCGTCCAATGCCTAGCTCACAGCCGCTGACGTCAATCTTGCCTGTGACTGTTCAGCTGCACTTAGGGCTGAGATTATATTCATATCAAAGGCCGATTGTTGCTCGGGAGACTCCTAAAAACACGTAAGGAGTCTCACATTGTCTATTTGCTGACATGTAAGAAGACACAGCCAACGTTTGATTGGATTTGAACGTAAGTTGTACGAAGAGGGGTAAGATGCACTCGTACTATCTGAGGTCGCCAGTGCTACAAATGCATCTGGTCAAGATCTAAGGGCATTGTGGTCCTCTTGAAATTGATGTTTATAGACCTTGTCGGTTAATGTCAGAGGCTAGTGGTTGGTACATGGCCATGTTATAATATAATAAATTCCTTTCTCCCGGTAATTTCTGATGGGCTCTCTCGGCTTGCACTGGCGTGAACCTTGATATATACATGTATTGGCGTTGCGTTCGGTGAGCGGACGTACATGCGGGAAAACTCCGTGATCTTCAAATTCGAGTTTTCTGGATCTGAACCAATTCTGCGAGTCTATGGATTCATCACGCAGCGGACATTGCCAAGGCTCTGACGTGAACGACTCCTCTTGAGCATCACGACGCGGGTACGCTATCCCGCCGGCGGCAAGAGATGAACCCCCACTTTCAAGATTGATACGAAACCGACACAATTCGCCCAATGAGCTTGGCAGCAATTGATTTCTAGAACGAATACACGGTCACAATTAAGGTTCCGGCACTTGGCAGCAAGGGTGATCTGCATGATGGCCCGGTGGGATGGAACGGTTCCCCTCGCGGACGCCCTCCGCAAACTCCGGTTGAACCATTCGCGTCAAGCTCATTGGTTCATCCCTCAGACAGCCGCTGGATGGATTATTCAGTTGACACGACTGCCGGGCCGTTTCAGTGTGGACATCGGCCGAACATCACTGCCCCGGTGAGGCGGTGACGGAGCTGACCGCGGGGCCACGGACAACCAAAGTCCGCCGCCCGCCGAAAGAACACGGGTATATGTGAAAATTCCCGTTGGAATTTTGAATCAACAGACGAACACTCCAACCATTCAGATTACAAAGTCAGCTTCTCTCCACCGCAAATCCACCTGATTTCAGCATGGACGTCTTTAACACGACATCTTTCGACAACGCAGTCACCGACCGCCAGGACCCTTCCACGTCCTCGTGGTACGTGGTGGCATCATGCGCGACTGTCGCCATTTTGTCCCTGTTTCTTATGAGGGACCGTACGACCAAGCTTCCGTACCTCAACCCCAAGAAGCCTTTTGAATGGTCTTCGGCTAGAGCTGCGCAGGAGATCATCCTCAATGCCCGAAACTTGATGTACCTTTCAGCCAATAGTCTGTTGGGAAAACCTTTTCGCGTGTTGGGTGACGTTGGCGACGTTATCATTCTACCTCCCGATGTTGGCCAGGAGATCCGGAACGACAAGCGCTTCAGTTTCACACAAGGTCTTGCCGACGTAAGTTGATTTGAACTCTACTCCTCACACTTTGTGACTACTAGCTTACACGGGATTTGTAGGACTTCCAAGCTCATTACTCTGGCTTTGAGCCTTACAAGGAAGCTTGCGACCCGGCCGAGAGACTTCAGAATGTAGTGAAACTAAGGCTAACAAAGACCCTGGGTACGTTCTCTCCCCATAATTCAAATAATGTGACGGAGAATGAGACTGATACATGACTTTCGCAACAGGTAAAATCACCAGCATTCTCTCCCAGGAAGCAGACATGGTTATCAAGAACACTCTCACCGACTCGAAAGGTAAGTTTCAGCGTCCACTGCGCTCCTGGCTGCAGTTGCCCTGACCAATCTTCTCAGACCCCCACGATGTCGTTCTCAAGGAAGTCGTCCTTGATGTCGTCTCTAGACTCTCTGGTCGCATCTTCGTTGGCGAGCGCCTTGGCCGAAACGACGAATGGCTTCACACTGTCATCAACTACGTCGAGACGAGCGTCTTTGCCATGCAGGATATGCGCAAGTGGCCTGAATTCCTTCGACCTGTTGTCGCCTGGTTTCTTCCCAGAACTCGGCTCCTCCGCGCATATATCAGAGACGCCGAGAAGCACGTCTTTGCTGAGATCAAGAGACGCAAGGAAGAATCACCGGCCGTCGAGTACCTGGATGGTATTACATGGTTTGAGGAGATGGCTAAGGGACAGAAGTACAATCCGGCCGTTGGTCAGCTGATGTTGGCCAGCGTTGCCGTACACACCACTGCCGATCTTGTTTGTCAAGCTATGTACGACATCTTGCAGCACCCTGAGCTGATCCAACCCCTGAGAGAAGAGGTTATTCGCGTCATTGGCGAAGGAGGCTGGAAGAAGACGGCTCTGCACAACATGAAGTTGATGGATAGTGTTCTGAAGGAAAGTCAGCGCCTGAAGCCCAACCAGATTGGTAAGTCTCCTAACGTCACGAAATCATGACGCCTTGTGTTCGAAGAAGGAAATGAACTGACCTTCGAATAGTGGGAATGAACCGCAAGACAGTCGAAGACATCCAGCTTCCCGACGGAACTTTCCTCGCCCGCGGAGCTTCCATCGTCGTCTCCGCTGAACGCATGTGGGATCCTAAGGTCTACACCAATCCTCTCGAATTCGATGGCTACAGATACTTCAAGGAGCGCGGTGGCCCCAACGATGCCGTAAGCCAGCTCGTGAGCACCAGCACAAGCCACATGGGCTTCGGACACGGCATGCACTCTTGCCCTGGTCGCTTCTTTGCCGGAAACGAAGCCAAGGTTATTCTGGCTCATTTTCTTCTCAAGTATGACTTTGAGTTTGCTGAGAATCAGACGCCAAAGTACATGGAGTATGGGTTCACTTGTGAATCAGACTCTACTGTCAAAGTTTCTGTTCGCAGACGCAAGGAGGAGATTGACCTGTCTGTCCAGGACCCCCAAGCGGAATGAGCATGGGTTTAGTATTCATGTCCAAGCTTGGTCTTGAACGACTCACAGAAAGATTGTAGCTCATTTTCTTTTGTCATTCTTGGTGTAGCTTAGAGGCAGTGTAAGAAGATAGAGGTCATAGATGTGTTTTGTTTTAGGTTTGGTAATTTGAGTAGTTTTATTCTACATTATAAGCTGACAGTCGTGCAAATACGTCTTTCAATTGGGGCCTGATATTTCAATTGAAGTGGGAATTTGCAGGATTTATTTCGTGTTCATGCATACTTTTGCGGCATCTACCATGATCAAATACTCAATATTTGTATGCGAGCACTCGGCAATGCGCTCGCTGTAGGTCCAATTAGACATAACTGTGCCAACAGCCAGCTGATCACCGAAACATTGCGTGATAAAATAATGCGTCAAATTCTTTTAGCCACGTCGCTAATACCAATGTGTACTGGGCAATTTGAAATTAGCAAATTTTGCAAGCTGAGATGTTGAAAATAAGCATGCCGTGTGGATAGTGCTTGATGACAGTGTATTAGAAATGTTCTAGGGACTTGATTACCCACCAATTGGCGCTGATTACCCAGCAAAAAGCCCCATTGCGGGGATACTCAAGCCACATTACTTCACCCTCGCTCCTCTTCCGAACTTGTTCCTTGAAAGCATTCATGATTGAGCAAGAGAAGTCACAACATTATTAGGCGAAAGCGCTATAAGAACCATTGTATCTGCTATTAGGCTGTCAAGCAAGCGATTGGCAGGTCAAGCTCAAGTCAATGTTCGCACTCTCTTCAAACCAACCCCACCGGCAGCTTACACCAGAATCACGGGGCCCCGTGGGAGCACTCACCGCAACACGCACTGACTCTGGAGAAATGGAGCCCGCTAATGAGCCACTGGGGCCATCGGAGTTTGACGTTTACAACCGCTTGTCCAATATGATGCAGACCTTCGTGAGTTCTTTTGTTGGGGAGGCTGGATCTCAGCGATCCCTGGTCTTCAGCGACCTCTCAAGTAATTCTGACGTATTGTCTGTATAGCACAACCACTTTCGTCGGACCTGGAAGCGTCTTCAAGATTCCACAATACCCCCTGTTGACGGCCCGCCAAAAATGACGGATGACCAGATTCTCAGGGAAGGGCTTTTCTTCTGTTACCGTCTGACGAACCACCACAATATCGAAGAGAGGTCTCTATTTCCAATGCTGGCGCAGAAGATGCCTGAATTCAGGGGTGACAATGCACTTCTGCTGGAACAGCACCGGGAGATACATCATGGCCTCGAAGACTTGCAGCAATATCTAGAAAAATGTCGATCGCGCAAAACCAAGCTGGACCTTGCGATACTGAGGAGCAAAATGGAGCCTTGGGGCCATGTCCTTTTACTGCATCTGGACCTAGAAGTCGAAATGCTGGGCGCGGAGAATATGAGGAAATACTGGACGCGGGAGGAAATGCTGGGAATGCCTGTTTGAGTAATTACCGGCGATTATGTACGGCGTACCACGGTACACACCGAGAGGCGCCGACCAAAACAGGTGCACGGCTCCGACATCGGCAACGTTGACACCGAACCGCCGAGCTGACACGGCCCGGCGAGTCGGAGGTCCGCTCGTTCACGATGATGATGCCATAGAAGTCAGGGTGGCCCGTATCTCGCGACGCCGAGTTTCGGAACATCGTGGGAACCAACATCGTCAATTCTGCCAGTGCTTACAACAAGTGCTTACCCCTGGCCCGATAAACAAATACTAGGTCTCCGCCACAATCCACCCGATTTTAATTTACCACTCACTTTCTTTCACCACAACACATTCAACATGACTATCAAAGAAGTTCCTCCGAAGGTAGTGACCGTCGCCGACGCGTACGAGATCGCCAAGGCGCGTCTGCCAAAGCCAGTATGGGATTACTACACCACCGGCGCCGACGACGAGCACACCCGTGAGCGCAATCAAGCTGTGTACAGAGAGTAAGAATTTCTCCTCACTCCGTCTCATTCAATTGACTGATCTGTCTTGCAGGCTCCTCCTCCGTCCCCAAACACTCCGAAACGTCTCCAAGATCGACACCTCAACAACGATCTTCGGCAAGCGCTACGACATCCCGATCGCGATCGCGCCGAGCGCATACCAAAGACTCGTCGGCGGCGAAGGCGAACTCGACGTCGCCCGTGCTGCCTCAAATCTCGGAACCAATCTCACCCTCTCCAGCAACGCCACCACCTCCCTCGAAGATGTCGCGAAAGTTCTCCCCGACCGCGGCCCCGAGTACCCGAAGCCGTGGTTCCAGCTCTACTTCCTAGGCAACCGTGAGCTCACCTCAGGCCTGATCAAGCGTGCCGAAAACGCTGGCTACGAAGCGCTTGTCCTCACCGTCGACACCGTCGTCCTCGGAAACCGTCTGCAGGAGCGCAAGACGCCCTTGACCCTCCCGGCTGGTCTGTCAATGGCGAACATGGAGTCGCGAAAGGTCGGCGCCATTTCGAGAGCCAACATGCTCCTGCGCGCTGAGACGGCGGCGGAGTACAACAAGATCGTGGATGAGTACCACGGCTCGCTTGTCGATGCTAGCCTGGAGTGGAACGAGGTCATCCCTTGGCTCAAGTCGCAAACGAAGATGAAGATTCTTGTCAAGGGCATCATCACGGCTGAGGATGCTCAACGGGCCGTGGAGGCTGGTTGCGATGGAGTTGTCGTTTCGAACCACGGTGGTCGCCAGCTGGATGACGTCCCGGCGACACTGGAGGCATTGCCCGAGATTGTTGATGCGGTGAGGGGCAGGATACCCGTCATCTTCGACGGAGGCATCACTCGAGGAAGCGACGTCTTCAAGGCGCTGGCTCTCGGCGCTGATCTGTGTCTCATCGGACGCACTGCTCTTTGGGGCTTGGCATGGGACGGTCAGAAAGGTGTTGAGGGAGTGCTCCACATCCTTGAGCGAGAGCTTCACAGAACCATGGCGTTGATGGGCACCGCCAGCCTGAAGGAGCTCAACAGAGGACTGCTCGGACGCTCAAAGAGAGATGGATTTGGAATTGCGAAGCTTTAGATGATGAGCGTTACCTTCCATGCATTAAGCGATCTAGCGATAGACTATTTGGAGTTTTGGGACTTTTTCTCAATCATAGACGTCAGACATGGGTGCCTTGGCCCGCCATGCTTCCGGAAATAGACTTAGAGTTGTATTCCCATTGTCATCAGCACATACCAGACGCCCGCTTTCCTGTTCCAGCTGGTGTTCAGTCGCGTTCAACTACATGCTTAGAAGAAGCTCTTACCTAAACGTCCAGGCTGAGTTCCACTGCCAATCGAAGACTCGTTCACGACATGTTCAAGTCTCCACCCAATTACGATGCTTCCGAAGTCGAATCTGCCAGGTGTTGAAGCATGGAAACATCCATCAAAAACAATTCACGACCCTCATCATCAATGAAAGCGGAGGGACCATTGCTCATCATCAACATCTCCACCTCATCCTCGAACACAAGCGGGTCATGGACCGCGCCCTTCCTCTCAGATACATAGTCTCCCTGTGCGAAATGTCCCGTTTGAGGGTGCTTGCCGTCGCCTCGAATGACATAGATCTCCGCGCTTTCGATGTGTCGATGCCGAGGAAGAACTCCTCCCTTCTCCGCGCGGACGATAACAGTATAAGAGCCTGTTTCGGGAGAGAGTTTCACTAGCTTGATCCAGACCTTGGGCGCTAGAGGCAGCCATCTGAGATCGTTGCAGTGTATGGTGTCCCCGCCATCGTGAAATGCAGAGTCGTCGGTTTTAGTAGAGGAGTCGGTTTTGGGGACCAAGGAAGTCATTTTCAAAGATGGAAAGTAGTGAATGCCGAGAAAGCGTCTGGTAATGTCGTGTTGGAAATTTGCGTGATTGGTTCAATGTGCGAGCCAAGTTTATATAAGTGAATCAGACTTTCGAAACTCGTGCCCGGATCATTGGACATTTAAGGGATTGAAGATGGACAACATATATCTCGGCGGAATTAGTTTTCGGGTCCATATTAGTAAGTCAGTCGGATGTCTACTTTCAGTGCATGTTTCAAGACCCGCTCGCGACACCATGTTTTCCATGATTACTGAACTGTATTTTGTAACTGCTGTGATCCTTTTGATGCCTCAGACCAAATCCATGCTCTCATTGAGTGTTGTGGGGTTGCTCTGAAGCACGTACTCCCTCGGTGGGATTAGCTTGCAGATAAACCCGTAAGTCCGGGGCGCATGATTCATTCTGGTGGATATGAAGATGAAAATTAAGAGTCACCTTTGTTTCCACTTTGAAGATGAAAACACGAACAGAAACCAACATGAGAGTCCGAAGTCCACGTCCACGTTGTCCGAGTCGGGCTGACTGTACGTCAATTCTCCATGTTGCGCCGATCCCCCGCTAAACAGGACCTAAAATTTCGATCTGAGAGGAGCATTCATTGTGAAATTGGAGTAAAATTCTCAGAACAAATTCGGTTCAGCCTGTTGCCACTTGATTGGCTCTCGGCCTGCCCAGAGCGTTCTTGCCCATCCTCTGTTGTACCATAGCGGTATTTTGCACAACATAACAAAGACTTCACTGAATTGAATCGGATCTTGGAAGTGGACATGATATCATGACATAACATACATGTAGCTTAGCTTTCAAACACATCTTCCATGATGTGGACTCAACAGGTAGGCCTTCGACCTTGAAGTTACAGCATCAGCTGTAGCTCATACTCATGTCCGAGAACCAAGTTGACTACCAGAACTGAATTCATTTTGCTCGGGATCTTGAACCCTACATTTGGCAATAAAGGTTGTTTGGCTCTTAGTGGTGAAGTGAGTGGCGAGAACGTGATCCATTGTGGCCCATGGTAATCAATGTGCTCCTCTCGTTATGAATCCACTGCCGTCGTCAAACATAGACTTCCCATTTGGTTCCATGCTGTCGTCATCACTGGGAGAGCTGGCTCTAACCATGCACTGCAACGATTTGGCATGACGTTTGCCAATAAATGCACGCTGCAGCGCCCGAAGTTTGAAGAAGGGTCCATTGGGTCGTTTTGAAGGCTGCTTGGCTGCGCAACCTTCTCCCTGAGCGCTACCAAGGGTAACAACTTAGGCCTGCGATCCCATCGCTATCACATGCTCCCTATTGCAAGGATCCACGCAAGAACTGACAAGACCAACACTTTGCCACTGAAGTCCCTACCACTAGCCGAACTTTTAGGGGCATTGCAGAACCGAGGGCCCAGCATGCCTTCCGGGTCAGGCCACGTCCCATTTGGACAGCCTGCGAACTCAAGCATAGCCGTCCTGGTCACGGATCTTGCATCGCACTACTTCTTGCCTGGGTGATCAAAATGCCACGTTGATCTCATGCGTCGAATAAGTCTGTTGGAAGTAAAAGCCCGCCCCTTGAAGGATGAGTTCTCACGAGACCCTTGGTGACGAATGTGACTGATCACCAATTCTTGGCTGGCCCCGCTACCCCAGACTGTCTTCCTGACCAGGCCTAGTCTGGGGCACCTTATGTTTAAGTCTAGCTGCATTGCTCTGGCCTCCGCATGTTACTACTCTGCAGGTATTGGGTGTTGTGATAATTGAGCCCGAGGTGTCGGAAGAAGAGGCTACTGGCAATGTTGGTTGAAAAAGAATTTTTGAACCTCGCATCAATAAGAGCGAAAATGTGATGGGTTTGTCATGACGCCAGATACAAGCACCGAAGTCTCATATAAAGGGGATGTATTGATCAGACAAGACACAGCTCTCACCTTTGTCTCTCATTCGTTGTCTGTAAACCGCATCGTTCTTTCCAGAAGATATCCAACCGATTTTTCATTCTCAGCGTCGTTACTGGCGTCCTCGGTACTCTCGGGAGCTCAGCCAGCTTCCCCCTCCAGCGGCGAGGCAGCAGTCCGAGCCCGAGCCTGAAATTCGATCCCAACACCGACCCAAACTGCAGCTAGTGATGGGATGCAGACGACGGACTTCCCTGCGAGTTTGCGGTCTAGTGGAGTGGACTGACAATGGCAGACTTTGCCAAATGAGTGCGTCAAGCCGGCTGGCCACGGCCGAAATATCCACTGACCCAGAACGTGTGTAGAACCCCTCGGTCAACAGCTGTGGGGGCTGGAAAGATGGCCACTTGTACTGCGTCGAGGTCGTGATCGCCGCTCCAGAGACTCCGCGGCCCACCACCTGATTCTTCTTCGATGTATATAATGTCTAATCATGGTGGTTGCTTTCAAATTTGTTTGCTTCGACGACGTGTAGTGTTTAGTTGTCCCGGCACTCAATCAGTCCCTCCCACATCTCCGCCTTTCCTCGTCCGGGTCTCCTTTCGATGCGTTCCCAGTATTGAAGGGATGGGCAGCTTACTTCTCTTAGACAGTCTGAGTTTGTACTCTTTCTTTGCGTATTGAATTGCGTCTAGCTTCAGACGGTGTTAGTTAAGGGAAAGTATGCCTTTGTCAAGGATGCTTCAATGCGTACCTTACCTCAGTGAAGGTGTGGATCCCATCGATAAGGGTCTCAGCGTCTCCACCTCTACGCCCTAGCGCTGACATCCAAGCCTTTGTTTTCAACACCAGAAAAGCCGCATCACGACTGGAGCCACAATTACCATTCATCACACATCCCCGACTCAACATGTCCCACAGCTCCGAATTTCTCGTTCTTCCTCGCCCAGGTGGGGCGACCGCCACCTCAAAAGCCCCGATACAGGGTCCCTCTGAGTCGGCCTTTACGGAGACTTTCGGTGCGCTCCTACCACCGGCCAAGTTCTTGAAGACTGCCACTGGTAAAGCCGCCTACTATGAGATGCCCCCTTCATCAGATAGCGAGGGCTCATCTACGCCCGAGCGAGTCCTATTCATTCACGGCGTGCAAACTCCGGCCCTTGGCATGCTTCCGCTCGCCCGCAGCCTTCATGGATCGTTCCCGCGTTCGCATTTCGTATTGGTTGACCTCTGGGGTCACGGACTGAGCGACACACCTGTTGTCCCGCATGAAGCGAGCCTGTTTCACCAGCTTATTGATGATCTGTTGGATCATCTGGATTGGCCCTCCGCACACATCGTGGGCTTCTCCTTCGGCGCCTCCCTAACGGCCGGATATACTGCCTCAAGAGCGGCACGTGTGCAGAGTTTCACTCTCGTTGCGCCGGCTGGTCTCCTCCATGCTGCCAATTTCACGGCGGAGAAACAGCAATATTTGAGGAAGGATAATATCGATGAGGCTGGCGCTCGGAAATTTGTGTTGGGATTTCTTGAAGGTGGCGAGTTGGTTGTACCTGCAGACTGGAAGGACAGGGCGGCCAAGGGAGAAGTTGTTGCTGAGGCTGTGAGAGAGTGGCAAATGCGTGAGCATCCCGGTCATACCGCTTCCGTAATTGCGATCTTCAGAGATGGTCATGTCTTGGACAACGACGCTGCGTTTGCCAAAGCAGTCGAGACGAAAATCCCGTCGCTTGCGGTCTTGGGCGGGCTGGATGATTTGTGCAGCGAAAGCCAGCTTACTGAGCTTGGGTTCACGAACGTTTCTGTTGTTCCCCAGGTTGGACACGGTGTAGTTAGAGAAAGAGTCCCAGAAGTTGCGGGCCTCATTAGTGAATTTTGGACCAAGCTTGGGTAAGCTGCCTGCTGTTAAATAAAGTGGCTTATGTCAATCAGAGCCGAATTTGAGCCTTTTTGTTGATTTCGTATACGATATAGTCGAGTCTCTCTTGCGGTGTCGGGGATTATTCGGTCGCAGCAGTGCCCCTGAGTAAACACTCAAATGCTGAAATTGACGCAATGTTGAAATAGTTGCATGCCCACGGCATTGGTTATTATCAAGTATCAAAGTCGCTTGCTATCAAACTCATGTTGTCAGGTCTCTAGTAGGAGTACCTGAACTTCCTGTTCTCGAAGTCCGTCAAATCCATCAAGACCTCATCATCCTCCTCCGCGGCATTGTGCCCACTGGCCGCAGCCTCTGCATCTCGCTTTGCGTTGCGGCGCTTCAACAGGATGCGAATAGCAATAGCAATAATGACCTGACCGGCAGTGCACCCCATGATAACCTTGCAACCAGTGCCGTAAATGGGGGCTTCTGATGCAAGGAAGGCCTGGGGTCCGATGATGTTTCCTACACAGTATGCCAAGAAGACGAATGCAGTGGATGTGACACGCTTCGTGTATCCTGCAACGTTGGCAGCAGGCATCTGCAGGGCGACGACGAGGGCACCGACGAATGAAGGGCTCTGTAATCACCGGTTAGCCTACCTACACTCTTGTATCTTAGTTCCCCGTCAACTTACAATGTAGTATGCCATCAACAGACCGTTCTTATTGCCTCTGTCCAGCTTCAAAAAGAGGGAAACAGCAATGAGTGTGGGCAACACCCAGGTCATCATGACAATTGTGCGGAAGTTCTTGAACTTAGATGCACAGAAAGGTCCTGTGAAAATGAAGAAGGCGACCCAAGCGCCGTACGGAATACCATAGGCAGTAGTCAAGAGAGCATCCTTGGTAAAGCCCTTAACGATCAATTTTCCGAAGTTGGCAATACCTCCGTTGACAATTTCGTTGAGCAGTGTGTAGAAGAACAACAACCAGATTTGGATATCCTTGAAGGCCTCCTTAATCTGCGCTGGCTTGATCTTGCTGCTGAAGACACCGGTCTTGTTGCTCTGGCTGCGAGCAATCAGCAGAGCCTTTTGCTCCACCGTGTAGCGCTTGGCGGTGAGAATGTTGTTGGGGAGGAAGAAGAACAGGACAACACCCCAGATGACGGTCATACCACCGCAAATGATAAAGATGATTCTCCACACATCCCATCCGTCAGCCTGCCCAACGCCGTAGAACAAGATGCCGCCGACCATGGAACCGATACCGTTGAAGCAGTAAAATGCTCCGGCTCGCACGGGCGCCTCCTTACGAGTGTACCACATGCTGGTGACAAGCATGAATGCTGGTGTGATGACAGCCTCAAACATGCCCAGCAAAAATCGGCAGACCGCGAGGCCGGCAAAACTGTGAGATGCGGCGGTGCATGTCAGAACAATCCCCCAGCAAGTGACGAAGACGCTGACGACAGTGCCAGTGGGGAAGTGCTGAGCGAGGTAGCTGGCCGGCCATTCTGCGAGAAGGTACGCGAAGTAGAAGATGCTGGCAAGCCATGAGTACTGGCTCTGAGATGTGTTTGTTGTCTCGAAGAGGTCGAAGACGGCGCCGTAGCTTAGTGCCTGCTTGTCGATGTATTGCAAGAAGTACTGAGGGATGATTAATTGACTGTACAAAGCAGTACGTAATAGAACTGAACTCACTGTTCCCATAAGCAAGGGAAGAAGGGTCAGGTCAATGTGTCGAACAAGCTTCTTCTGTGCGGCCTCATCCTCGAGCAGCTCCTTGAGCCGCGAGTGGGGGATGCCATTCTGCTGCAGAAAAACCTCGGCCTCGTCGAGGAGCTCGACTTGACCGGTCTTGAGCTCCTCGCCGACACTAGCCGCGATGGATGGTGCCTTCTCCGCAATTTCAGGGTCCTTGGGCTTCAGCTGCCCTTCGTTTATAGACGATTCGATGGCCATTGTGGAGTCCGGGGAAGTCTGACCAGACTGGCGGGTCGTTCTTTACTCCTAGAGATGATGTGCTCGAGCACGCGATTGAACAAAGTGGATGCAACTCGGCCTAGTGAAAGGGAGTTGCTATTATTGCTAGTGTTGGTTGCAAATGGCAAGAGGCAGCAATATTGTTGGAGTTGTTGAGCTCTCGGACAAGGGCGAGTTGTCGACACTTTTCCGCAGCGGAAAACTGCCAGGTTGCGGTCGTCTTTTTATTCATTGTCATTACAAGGGGCAAATGATACCCGGTGGTGGCTCTGATAGCGCCTACGACTCGTTGACCAACTCGATAAGATACATGCCGATAGGCGCTGACTACTGAAGACTTCGGTCCCAGATGGCATAGGCTGCAGATAACATGTCAGGCGATAACTCCCAGCCAAGCCAGCGTGCTATCCCAGTAACAGGATCCATAACTTGATAAGGAACCGAGGACTGCAAGACGCTTCCCCGCGTCGGGATGGGGCCTACATGCCGCTGGGTTCATTAACGTGGAGAGCGGGTGGAGTTACCGTGGGCACTGTGCGGCATCGGTAAACCGAATGGCCCCGGAGTCCAGATTTGACCGCCGAAGTGCTGAATCTCTTGCTGGAAACGACAAAGTGGAGTCTTCTCGGTGAACCTCCGCCTTATCAGCTTGCGCGTTGACTAACAGAGATATGAGCACTAGCGTCTTTGATCGGGATTAAGCCATGATAATGGTTGTGGAGCTTTCCGCGGGGAAATATCAACAACGCAACTCCCACCCAACCTTTGCCCGAGTCATCAGCCGATATCCGGACTCCGCAACCACAGAACAGAGCTCAGACACGGACAACTCAGACACTGGAAGGGCAGAATGTCTACAGCATCAGGAGACCAACCGACGCCCCGGCCGTACCGGTCCCATTTGCGCCCAGCATGCTTGCAGTGCCGGCGCCGCAAGTCGCGATGCCAGCAGCAGGAGGGGATTAGCTCTTCGACGTGTCAAATGTGCCATGTCTACGGCACTGACTGCGAATTTCCGCCGTCGCCTCGAAGCGCTGGGCGTGCGCCGTTGAACCCCGGGAAAATCCAGAAATCGTACCGGACCCCCCAGTCCAACACGCCATGTCGAAGGGAACCTCTCGCTGTCGCAGCAGCTAAGGCACCCCAGAGCAGCATACATGTGAGGACCACCTCTACGTCTCCACCGACGAGCACGACATCAGCACCGGGTCCCAAAGCTGTGCTGAGTCCGCATAATCCGCACTTGATGCTGGCTTTGGACAGTCCCGAAGACGAAGACAATTCGCATATCATTGGTCCGGCTGTTACAAACGACACACAGGTGCTCGCAGATTACCTGAGCTCGGAACCAAGCATTCATGAAAGGATGATTAGGGTGGTCAAGCCAAGGCCGGGATCGCAAGTGGGACAAACGCCGCGTTCATCAATGGACTTGTCCGGTGGAATTCGGAAGCCTGTTATCTTCACGGCAGTCCGGAAGCGGCCTTTCGGTCTCTCGCCCCGGCAAACGGCGCCGTTGCAGAAGTATCAGATTGTGGAGAAGATGTTAGAGCCATGGACATCGACACTCATCGATCTGTAAGTCGAAGACGTTTCTTTTTTCGCTTGTCAGAAGAGCAACCCCTGTTGATATTGGGGGCTGGATGATGAAAGCTCGTCCCCACATCAGAGGACTCTTGGCAAAAAATCTCCTTGTCATGGGTTAAGCATCAGACCACAATGCTAACGGCTGTGGCGTAGATACTTCCAAAAAGTCAACATCTGCTTTCCGCTTCTGGATGAAGTGTCCTTCAAGCACCAGTTTCAAACCGCTAGAGACAGGATATCACCGGCCTTGTTGTCAGTTCTCTATGCTCACTCGATGATCTTTTGGAAGAACTGTCCAGACTTGCCATCGGAGTATTGCCCTGATTCCCGGTTCATATGGAACCAAGCAACCGAGACGCTCTTCTCTGAGCTACATATTTCACCCGGGATCTCCACAATTATTGCCATCATTCTCAATGTCGGGGGCAGGCCAACCACTTCCATGATCATGAACGAGATCCAGCTCGGTGCTGCTGTTTCATTGGCACAGTCGTTAGGTCTCAATCGCGATCCAACCGACTGGAATATCTCTATCCCTGAGAAGTGTTTGAGAATGAAGATATGGTGGGCCTTGGTGGTTCATGATAAATGGTGAGACTTTCTCTAAACAAGGTACTGATGATCAATGGCTAATACGATGTTTTACAGGCTAAGTCTGGCTTACGGCACACCGCCTCAAATCAAACGCTTCCAGTATGATGTTCCAGATCCCACACTGGAGTTTCTCACAAGTAAAGACGCAAGCGATGCGCAAAACGGAGCTGCTTCAGTTTTCATAGCTCTCGTTACCTTGACAGGCGTTCTCGACAAGTACCTCGAGTTCGTATACGACCTCAACCAGGACCGTGACCAAGATAACGGTCAGACGTCTCTCGGGCTAGAACTCAGTCTTGGCCAATGGGAAGATTCTCTGAGCGACGACGTGAGAAGAATCATTACCCGCGGCAACAACCTACACATCCCCGGCGCGGCAAACCTCCGGCTAGCTTATCTGTCGACCAAGCTTCTCCGGAGAAGAATTGAGCTCGATATTGAGAAACAAGAGGACGCAGCCCTTGGCGACGCACTAACCAACCGGTACATCCAAGTTCGCCGGGCTGCCGAGGAGATCGTTCTTCTCGTCCAGGAGTTGGAAGAGATCCACCTCAGCGACTTTTGGTTGCCCGTCAGCGCGTTCGCGTTCACCTCGGCCATCACGTTCCTATTACGATGCGCGCTAGAAACAGAGAACACGGCGGCTGGCCTGGCTCAAAGCGCGTCTTTGAGGCTGGCGAACAATTTGATTGATTCATTACAGTCGCATCAGCAGAAGTCGGGTTGGGACCTGGGAGACCTCTGTTTGGCGCAGTACGCCGAGGTTGTCGAGAAGTTGATGACGGCGGACAGTCCCTCTGCGACTGTGCCGGAGTTTCAGCAGTTGATGATGTCGTCAGAAGTTCCGATTATTGATGAGCTTTTCCCGAACTTGTGGGATATGTTTTGATGCGCTTTGTGAACGAAGATACGTTTCATGTACAACTAGAATACGAATAATGACCCATGTTTCCCTATCACTTGTCAAAATCGGAGTAGATGTGCAAGCTGGGAGAGTGTATCTAGAACGAGTGGCAAGAGGTCATGAGCAGCAAAAGGTTTACTTGACAATTGAAATCTTTATCAGGCCATCGCTATGTAAAGAACTATTCGTCTGAACAAGCGCGTCAGGAGAATTCGTGGCAAGTTTCTTGCACTCAGTCCTCGAAGTTTTCCGTCTGCTTCCACCAGAAGTTACACTCCTTCTCCGCCCATTTGTAATCTACGAAATAAGCGGAGGTTCCCAAGCTAAAGCCACCAGCACGCTCATCGTTGCCCTCGCCGAAGATCATCGTCTTTCCAGCCTCTTTTCCCTTGTTGCCAGCAAAAGGCAACCACTCAGGACGCTGCTCGAACTTGCCCTTAATCTTGTTGGGGTCCCCATGCACAATGAATGAGGTGGCATACGCATGCATCAAGCCAGCAATCTCATCTTGCTTGGGCGAGATAGACCGCACTTCAGCGTTGTAAGTCTGATACCGCATCTGATCACCGTGGTTGGCCCCATAAAGAGCAGTTTTATTGAGAGCCCAGTGGTATAGGTATACCGGGGGATCCTCCGGAGATTTGCTTCCCCAAATCGCAGTCTGCCGGACGGGGCAAGTGTATGCATAGTGTCCATAGGCAGCTTCGGCACGCTTGTATTGTGCGCCGATATCGAGGGGGCGAGTCTCCACATACTCTGAGCCCGGGTACTTGGAAGGGTCAGGGTAGAGTTTGTTCAGCTCAGCCAGCTCCTTATCTGAAAGCTGCGGGAGGAGAGTGCGAAAGAAGTCTGTGAAATCATCAGGTGAAGATGCTGCCTTGGGGACGTACATCGCGCCCTCGTTATGAGCAGATCCAGTAAAGATAGGGACCTTGTTCCACTTGCCAGACTTCCAGGCATCAATGGGACGCCGAGAGATGATGTCATCGTCGAGTACAGGTTGCCAAGCCCATCGAACAGATGGATTGGATTCCTCGTAAACTTTCTGACCCGATTCAATGATTGTCGAAGAAGGCAACGCGCGAAGGCATGGAAGGATCTCATGCTCAGGGCGGTTGTTGCAGCCAGTGAGCCCGAGAAACTCCTGAAAATGAGCCTCGTTGAGCTTCGACTCGGGTGGGTGAACTACTCGGGCGGTGTGACCGCCGGAATCCATGATGGCCTTATGGAAAAGCTTCTTCTTCTGGTTGATGTCCATAACCAGATGACCAATCTACACATCGGTTAGCAAAAACTAGGAAGCTTTTTCCATAATCAAGGCAGCTTACACCGTGAGCAGCAGCAGATAGTCCCATGATGGTTACATCATCAGGGTCACCACCAAAAGCAGCGATGTTCTTCTGAACCCACTCCAAGGCCACATACATGTCCTTGAGGCCCAGGTTCAAGAGACCTTTTTTTTTGGTTAGAGCGGTGTTCATGCCACCCGCAACACCAATGCGATACTGCATTGAGACACCAATCCAGGGCTCTTCAGACCAAGCCAGCATCGATGGCGTGTTGTGCATCCGAGCTGCTCCGCGGTTGAATGCACCTCCAGGGATCATCACCGCGACAGGAAGCTTCTTATCGCTGGCCGTATGGCCTTTCGGACGATACACGTTGATAGTCAAGCAGTCTTCACTCTCCCAGTCGGGGCCCAGCCACTCGTCGTCAGTGAAGGGAACAAGCTGCTTTCCAGGGCATCTAGTCGCATGTTTAGGTTATCAACTCATAGTCTGTCTCATCTCTTGGCTCAAACCCACCTTGGACCCAATTCGAAAGCCTCGAGTGTGCCGTTTCCAGCGGCTACAGGGACGGCATGGCGGAATCTCAACTGTCCGACCGGTGGGAGTGCATACGGTATTCCCATGAAGCCTTCCAAAGGCTCAGGAAACGTACCGTCCGTTACTAGCCTGCCAAGAATGGTGCCCTGGTTGATTGTGACCGACGCCGCCGGGCTGTACTTAGACTTCGTTGATTGACTGGCAGTAAAACCCCCTGGCTGTCCAGACCAGAAGTAGGCCAAGACGCCGGCTGCGGCCAGGGGAAGGCCCAGACTCCATTGCCAACTTGGGCTATCCGTTCTTTTCGACATTTCCTCCCCGATTCGGAATACTGCTAGAATCGAGTAAGATGAAGCTCACAGCAGGATGAATCGGCAATGCAAATCTAAAGCTTCATGATATACAACACTCAATTGAGGTTTTGGACAGCGCTATCGCCGCAAATGGGAGTTGATAACACTGGTTATGCAGGGTTTGGGAGCCGGCGAGTCAGGGGCATTGCGGGCGCTCACAGTATTTTCCCACGGCTTACGGTGTCCCTCCCACCTCGCCGCGGCAAACTCAGGGGTCGGTTGCATTTTGCCGAACGAGCGCGCTGTTCCCCGCATTGGAAGAATACATGACACTGGATGCAAGAAAGTCAGTGAAAACGTTTGGTGTTCAGTGACGGGTCATCAACTGGGGAGAACTTAGTTGGGGAGAACTTAGTTGGGGAGAACTTAATTGGGGCGACCTCCACACTGTAGAGGACCATTCGGTTTGCAGCACGATGAATTACTAGTAAATACAGACAAGTGTTTCCGCCTTCAATACCGCGGAATGCTTGAGATGTACTAAACATTGCAACTGTTTAAGTATTCAAGTTGTTGGTAGGCAGAGATGGCCCCGAATTCCGACTGAAACGTCTTGAACGCAACAATCCGGGCCTGCCGGATCCTGATGATCGACATCGGCCCCGCTGAAGAGGCCAGCACGGTAGCCTCCGTCAGTTTCGGCGGGCAACGGAGACTAGCCGAAGATCGTTGTTTGAGCTCCCCTGGTATCTAAGAGACGCCCCTAGAAACAGAAATGCCATCTAGCTACCAAGGCTGTGCTTGTCACATTCCATTGGGCTGCAACATTTCATCTGATGCCCTCTTAATTCTCTTTGGCGATGGTGCGGTCGTAGTTAAACATCAATGTATACACCAGACTGCCCAGGTAGGTAGGTATGAAATCATATCTGGAAATTATCTAAGAGAGTATATTGTGTGATTTGAGGTATCGGAAATGTTCATGTTTCAGATGCGCACGACTTTCCCTGGAGCCTACCGCCTCTCCGCTTGGCTATTTTCCCATCTGGGTATTCCAGGTTTTAACCGAAATCCTTCGTGCAAGATGCTGCACATAAGTCCCAAAACGAGGAGTCGTACGAGTACCAACTTTTGCGGCGAATGGCCCATCAGCAAATAAGCGACGTTAATGGATCTCACGTCAGCCTGAATTATCCGGGAAAGCTCCCTGCGGCGCAGTAACGAGCTTCCACTTCCATGTTTATGCCTGACGAAACCCACGCCTGTGGCCGGGTGCCTACGCTGAGATTAAAACGCCCCTAGCAATTACAGCACGCTATGTCGCCATTTGTCTCAACTATGGGCAGTGCCTCGTCTCGATAGCGAGCATTGCCGTTGAGTCTGGCGAATACATGTAGACCATCTCCCCAAACCTCTTTCTAGCGTAATGATCCATCGCGTCGGCAATTCTTGACAAGCAACGAGTTCTTCCAAGCCATGGCTGACTGGAATCAAATCTATGCGGCGGCCTTTGTGGGCATTCTGGGGGGGCTCGTTTCTGTTCACCTCAAGACCTCCAAGCGCAAGCCTCCTACAGCAGTCAAGGGCAGGCCGGACACGGTTCTCTTCGCAGTCAACACTGAATATGGTCTCTCGAACGTCCATCTCGCGACGATATTCTCGCTGCTCAAGAACCATCCCAACATTAAGATTCATATCGCTTCATTCCCCAGCTTCGCCTCCAAAGTCGATCGCATTCGCACGTACGCAGGCAGACAGAACTCCTCGTCGAGTGATGTGGTTTTTCATGAGCTACCTGGCCCTGAGTTCGGTCCTGCGACGATGATGCCATCTGAGATGATCATTAGGCCGCCTGGCATTCGTAGCATCGACACTGTGGCGAAAGCAGTGCAGGTGTACCTTGCGCCCTGGACCGGAGAGGATCATTTACGAATGCACAATTTTGTGAGGGACCTCATCCGAGACCTGGATCCCGGTGTCGTTGTTCTTGACATCTTCCTGAGGCCCGCAATGGATGCGGCCAGGAGCGAGCGGAGGCTGCATGCTGTTCTCGCGCCGAATGTGCTCGCAGACATATTTGGATCAACACAGCCGTGGTTGAGTGGCCTTTGGAAGTTCCCAGCGTAAGGCCCTGTCTTGTCCTTGTCCTTTGAAATGACTTGCAAACTGACGAACAATACAAACAGCATGGGTTCTGCTCATACGTTTCCCATCCCCTGGAGTTCTATAACTTCCAACATCTATCAAGCGGCCTGCTTCCTCTATTCTATGACGTTTTGCCCAGATCAGGCATCAAAGCAAAAATTTTTGAACGACAATGGGCTACTCGATCCCATCTCGTACTTCAATTTTCATGACCCCCCTCTAGGCCATCTCATTTGTCAAGATACCCCCAGCGCCTCTATCCCTCTCATCCGCACCCCTCCCAACGTAACGACGACAGGACCTATTGCCATCTCGGTCGCCACAGCAGAAGAACAAGACCCAGAACTTGCCAAATGGTTGAATAAAGCGCCGACGGTATTGATCAATCTTGGGAGTTTCTTCCGGTATGACGAGGAACGAGCTAGGGCAATGGCCGGTTCGTTGAAGGTTGTTTTGGAGAGGACTGAGGTACAGGTTCTATGGAAGATCATGCCGAACACCGAACCCGTGCTCGAAGACGGTGTTTGGATGCCTTTGGTCGAGGATCATGTGAAATCAGGTAGGCTGAGAGTAGAGAAATGGCTTTCTGCTGATCCTTTGAGTCTACTGGAGACTGGCCATGTCGTGCTCTCTGTGCACCACGGGGGAGCAAGCTCCTATCATGAGGCTGTGTCGTAGGTCTTCCATTTCGCTTCCATATGAAAAATTACTGACCTGTGAATGCAGGGCTGGAGTACCACACCTTGTTGTGCCTGCTTGGCTGGATTGCTACAACTATGCAGCCCTTGCGGAGAGTTTCAAACTTGGCGTAAGAGGGAATTATAAGGCTGCCCCCGGCATTTCTCAAAATGAGCTGACTGGGGCATTCTTGACGATGCTTGATGGTGGCCCCTCCTGCGTAGAGATGCGGACCAATGCCAAGCGTCTGGCGAAGTCCATTGTCCGGCCGGGAAGAGACGTAGCTGCTGATAAAATCGCGGAACTAGCAGCTGGTGGCCATTGAATTGAGTACTTGGAACTCGACACGAGTTCGGACGAAAGTTTACATTTTTTCAAGAGCCATCCAGTACAATTTCGTGAACAGGCCTGCTATCTTTGATGTTCCGAGAAAGCCTTGGGTCTTTTACCACTTGTAACTGAGATGAAATACGATCATTTTCCGATTTTATGAGTTGCAACATGGACTATTCAAGTATCGCAGGGGCAGAACTACTCAGATGCCGATGTGACTGCCAGCCCATCGAGATTGCCTTTCGCCATCCAGCCCTCCAGCATCCTACGAAAGTCAATGATTCCTGTTCCCCAGACCAAATTCGATACGCCCATTCCTTCTTTCAGCAGCTTAGCATTGCCAGTGAACCACCCAGGAGTGCATGCTTGCGAGAGCGCTGTCCATCCCACACGTTCAATCATTTGCTGGATGTACCTTTCCTCAGACTCTCTGGTAACTTCAATGACCGTTTTTCCGGGAATGGATGCATTCTTAATGGCCGTGGAAATGATGTGCGCAACGACGTCCGCTGCATTCACATAGACCGACGTGATGTTTGGAGAGGTTCCCAAATGGGAGAAAGCCGAAAAGAATAAGTTGGGAAAGCCATGGGTAGCGACACCAAACAAGGAGCCAGCTTCTCCTCCATTCCATTTCTCGGTGATGTCTCGTCCGTGGCGACCTGTGAATGTGGATCCCGTCTGTCCGGATGGCGACCCATCTCCAGATGTTACGCTTTGAAAGCCAGTGGCGAGAATCAAAAGATCCAGGGGGTATGTCTGACCTCCGTTGGCAAGAACTCCCTCGGAGGTGTAGCCCTCAATTCCCTGCCCATCTGTATCGACGAGCTCGACGTTAGGTCGATTGAAAGACGCCAGGTACTCTTCGTGGAAGGCAGGTCTCTTGCACCACACTCCGTACCATGGCTTCAACCTCTCTGCAACAGACTTACCCATGACTTGCTCTTCGATGTGTCTGCGAACTCGCTCGGCGCAAGATCGATCAGTCTCGATGAGCGAAGCCAATGACTCCTCTTGGCATCCACCATAGGGCTTCGGTGACCCAATCACACCGGCAAAGGCATGGCATTCACTCCAGCCGTCGTTGCAAAGATCCTTCTCGGGAGGGTCATTCGTCAGAGAGCGGTTGAGGTTATCCATTCGTTCGTATTGCCAACCCTTCTTGGTCGCAACATCCGATGCCCAAGTCGCCCGGTCTGTCTCTTTCTGTCCGCGTTCGGAGACATACGTAGGCGTGCGCTGGAAAACGTATAGCTTCTTTGCCCATTTGGCGACTTCCGGGACGACTTGGACAGCGGTCGCGCCAGTGCCGATTATCCCGACGACCTTATCCCTTAGGTTCGACAAATCCGGCTTTTCTTGCGAGCCGCCGGTGTAGTTGTAATCCCAACGTGCAGTGTGCATTAATCGCTTGTTCTGAATGAAGTCCTGGAGTCCGGGCAGCTTCGGAAGGTGCGGAGAAACGAGAAAGCCTCCAGCAGAGAAAAGGAACTGTGTCCTCACTGTCAGCTGGACGGGATCTCTGTTGCGCCCACGGTTCTGCACCATCGACACAATCCAGCGACCGGCTTTGTCATCCCACATCTGGCTCTGAACTGTAGTTCCAAACATCCCGCGAATATTCAGGGTACCAGCGACGTTCTCCAGGTGTTGACGGATTTCGCTGCCATATGAGTACTTGTGCTTAGGAATGTAGCCAGTCTCCTCTAACAGGGGAAGATACACGTAGCCTTCGACATCGCACATGGCACCAGGGTATCGATTCCAGTACCTGACATCAGTCATAAGAAGTCAGATATGCCAGCACAAGTAAAGCTTTATCGATTTATCGTTGTATGCTCACTAAGTTCCGCCAAAGCCGCCTGCTGTGTCTACTGCAACAAATTCTTGAGCTTGAAAGCTGGCCCTAACGTCCCACACCTACTTCTAGGCACCCCCCACATTTAGGTACCCTAATTTTAATGCCCTTATATTAATATATATTAACTTTAACTAATATTTATATATATTATAATACTATAATAATATAACTTTTATTATTACTAGGGTTTTTAGACTTATTAGATTTATCTATACTACTTTTAAGTTTACTTACCTTAATTTAAGCCCTCTAAATAGCTTTAATATTAGTAAACTTTAAATTTAAACTTATCTTAACCTTCTTCTATTTCTTAGTTTTATTAATATTAACTTCTACTTATAGTACTTTAATCTTTTATTAAATTACTATTAGTTAATATACTTTTTTATTAAAGCTTTTTTAAATCTTCTAAAAAAGTAAGTATTATATATACTTATTATTATTTAGCTTATTAAATAAGTTAAATTAATCCTAAAGTTTATCCTTTTTCTTAAAAGTTAATTAAAGAATTACTAATATATTTACTACTTATTTTTTATTTATTTTATTATTAGAGAGCTCTTTATAAACCTAATTAGTTAGTTTAATAAAGGTTAATATATTTTTAAGTAGTAGAGAACTTATAAAAGGTTTAGCTATACTAATAAGCTATAAATTAATCTATTTCTAGCTACTAATAATATTCTTATTTATTAAGGTTACTTTATATACTTTATTATAATATATAATAAAATTTCTCTTATTTATAACTATATTAATATCTTATTTAGTTAGTAATTTAAGCTTTTTTTTATATATTACTTTAAGAAGTTTAAAAATTAACTAATTAAGTAACTAAAAGATATATAATATATATACTAATAAAAATAATAAGTATATCTTATTCTTGAAATATATATATATAAAAGTAGTAGTTTTATAGTTTTTATAACTATTTAAGATTAATAATCTAACTTCTAAGAGGTTTCTTAATTAAGTTAAAAGAATAAAAACCTCTATTAACTACTTAATAGCTATAGAGTTTAAAGTTTATTTATTTTCTATAGTTATAAACTTCTAAGATGTATATAGTATTAGATCTAAAAAAAACTACTACTACTAAATATTCTTACTCTTATATATAATAAGTAGAAGTAGTACTTTATTAATTATAAAGATATACTTAATTAAAGATATCTAAATATATAATTTAAGTTATTTTTTATAAATAGAATAAATTTCTAATAATCTAAAGATAAATTTATTTAATCCTCTACTTTCTAAAGTATTAGTTTTATTTATATTATATTAATTAGAAACCTTAATAGCTATAATCTTAGGTATAATAAAATACTTAAATTATTACTTAATTATATTAATTAAAGCTTTATTAATATACTAAGAATTAATTACTCTACTTCTTTAGACCTTTATAGATAGGTTTCTCTTAATAAAAAATTATACTTAGTTCTTTCTAAGAAACTAGAAATCTCTATAGATTTATAAAATATATTTAGTAAAATCCTTAAATTACTAATAAGTTAGAAAAAAGCTTAGAGTAACTTAGATTTAAACCTATTTAGCTAAATAACTTTCCTAAGTTAGAGAAAACCTATTATAAGTAGTACTTAGGATTAAGAGAATAACGCAGTTAGGGTCTATATTTAATAAGGACTAAATCTTAGCCTGCCTTTTAGTAGCTAAGCAGTAGCTAGAAATAGGCCTTTCTTCTTAAAATAGCTAATAATAACCTAGTAAAGGCTTAGGGTAGTAGGGCTTATAAGGCTTTATAATAACTAGGTCCCCCTTTAAGGAACTATCTTTAGTTTAGAATAAAGATTAACTAATCCTAAGCTTTTTAAGAGAGGTTTATTAGAAGGGTAGTTACTTTACCTTACCTCTTTACTTATTAACTAATTAGAAAAATTAGAACTATATAATTTTTAGTCTATATATTTATTTACCTCTAGTAATATTTTTATAGTAGATTTTCTCTTTTTTGAAAATACTTAGCTATTTATTTATATTTAGATTATATTATTTTTATAATTTACTAATAATATTATTATAGATTATTAGCTTAAAGAGTATATAAAGATCTAATAATACCTTAAAATAATAACTCTCTTTATTATTACTTTCTATAATATATTAACGCTTTTTTATTATATTAATCTACTTTACTTTATATAATTAGCTTTTATAGTTCTATCCTTTTTATTTATATAGATTAAGTCTTATATTATACTTAGTAGGTTACTAATTATTTACTTCTTAGTAGTAATAAATAAAAAGAGATTAACTAAGAGAGTAATATTATAGCTATTAATCTTATTAATTAGGCTTTAAGCTAGGTAAGTATAGTAATTAAGTGTTTTTTTAAAGTCTAATAGTAGTAGTTTAAGCTAGTTATCTTTAAGGTTTAAGTAGATACTATTACTATTAATAAGGATTATAACTATATATTTTCTCTTAGCTTTAAGGTTTTTTAGCCTATTAGTAATTATTTATTAAACTATTATCCTAACTTTATCTTATAATCCCTTAGTTTAGAGTATAACTATAAAGAAGAGCTTAAGGATATTTAATAGCTTTTATATAAAGCTTAAGTAAGTTATATTTTTATATATTTTTAGTATTAAATTAATTAGTTTTTAGTAGGAAATTAATAATAATATAGTTATTAATTAAACTATAGAGGATTTTAGAAATAAGTAGGAGTTTTAAGAGTTTATAGTATATAGTTATTTCTTTAGGTCTTATAGTATTACTAATTTAGTTTTAAGAAGGAGTATTTAATAATAAGCTAATACTTACTATTAAGTTTTAAAATATAGCCTTTTTAGCTAATATAGCTCTAATTAATATTAACTTTAGCTTGTTTAGTATAAGTTTATCTAATTCTTCTAATAATACTTCTTTAGATAGTAACTTCTTAGATAATACTTTTTTTATTTATTCTTACTATTTTTATTATTTAAATAGTTTAAGTAGGGGTTAATTTAGTTACTATAGCTATTTACTACTTATTTTAGAAAGAGTTCTAAATAAACTAAAATATAATAGCTTTTATAATATCTAGCTATACCTCTATTATATCTATACTATTATAAAGGTATAGAAAGAAAGTAAGACCTCTTATAATTAGCTACTCCTTATAGAATATATTTATACTTTTAATAGTAGTATATATTATACTTAGTATTATTCTTATAGAGCTTTTTATACTATAGTAATCCTACTTTTCTTATATTTTTTAGAAATCTTTTACTAATAAGTTTTAGTATAATATACTCTATTTATCTTAAGTAAATATTAAGATATCTTATTTATTATTAATAGGTTTTATTATTTCCTTTTTTTTATAGAATTTAAAGATATTATAGTAGAGTTATATAACCTTATTAAGTAAGTATAAGATACTTTTTATTTACTTAATATTATATATTACTAGGAGTTTTCTTTCCCTATTTTAAAGAAAATCCTTAAGGTATTACTTTATTTTAGTATATATTTTAGAGATAATTACTAATAATTAAGTAGTATTTTTAATAGGAATATACTTCCTTTTTTAATAACTATTAATATATTACTTACTATTAGTTTATATCTATTTAAGGTCTTTACTTTTATACTAACTTAGGAGAAATAGTAAGTATACTTAATTCTTTTAGGTTTTATTATAAATTTTAAGTTTTTAGAACTAATTTAATTTTAAGGAATATTATACTAATCTTTTCTTTTTACTTAAAGATACTAGCTATATAGCTTAATAGATCTTTAAGTACTATATAGTTTATATTAGTTTCTACTAAATATTTTATTAATATACTTTTTAATTAGTTACTAACCTATATATTATAGCTTTCTCCTATAAGATTTTAAATTATATTAAAGCTCTTATTAGTAAGTTTCCCCTATTTAGTCCTACTTATTAAGTAAGTAGTTTTTTAAGTTTTATTAGTTTTATTTTTTTATAGTTTTATCTTTTAGCTTAGTTTTATTTATTTTTTAGTTTAGAATTATAACTTTAATTTACTTAAAAAGGTTATTTATACTTTTTACTTCTTAATAAGGGGAAAGTAGTAGGTTTATAATATTTTTATTATAGTTTTAATTAAATTTAGCTTTAGATTAGTAGTAATTTTATTCTCTTTTTAGTTTTTTCTCTTAATTATTTTTTATTTCTTTTATACTTTTTTATATTATTATAAAGCTTTTTAGGTATTACTTATATTATTTTTACTAACTTAGAAGTTATATTCTAATAACTATTTAGTTTATTTAATTAAATAAAACTATCCTTTTTTAGTATCTTAATAGCTTATTATTTAATCTAACTTCTATTAAATATTTTTATCTTCTAAGTTTAAGATAAATAAGGGTTTACTTCTTTAATTACTTTTTTATAGTTTAAGTAAGTTAACTAAGAAGATATTATATAGATATATATATTTATTAGGAAGAGTTAGGCGATAGGTTTATTTTCTTATATAATCTAGAATTTAGAATAGTTTTATAAAGTATAGAGATAACTTCTTTTCTCTAGATTTAAAGTATAAGTTTCTTATAAAGAGTAGGACTAATTATCTTTAATAGAACTCTTACTCTTTATAGTAGTTATTATATCCTTTTTAATAAGATTTTACTAATTTTTATTAAGATTCCTATAAGTTATTATAAAGATTATTTAGTTTTTTTAAATAGTCTTTTACTCTTTATATCTCCCCTTTTAAGATCTTATCCTTAAAATCCTTTTAAAACTTAAAGTAATACTTAAGTAATATTTTTACTAAGGCTTTATTAATAGTAGAGTTTCTTATATTATTATATATAAATATTACTATAAATAGTAATTTAATTTAGTTTACTTAAGATTTATTTATAAAATAGTATAAATATTATTTTAGGGTTTTATTTATTACCTCTATTTATCTATTAGTTT